ACCTTCCCTCTGAATTCCTGCTAATGTGCCTGGGAGGCAGCTAATGATGGCTTATGTACTGGAGTCCCTGCCACTCACGTGGAAACTCAGATGAAGTTCCTGCCTCAGACCTTCAGCCTGGCCCAGCCCTGGCTGTTGTGGGCATTCAGGGAGTGAACCAGCAGATAAGAGAGCTCTCTGTCTGTCTCTCTGCCTTCCTACCTTTCAAATACATTTATAAAATGAATATTTTTTTAAAAAAAAAATGGGCCATTCTCAGCAGAAACAAAGTACTACCAGACCTAATTTGGAGGTATAAGAATTTAAAATAAGAGTGAAGAAAGAGGGGCCGGTGCTGTGACGTAGTGGATAAAGGCTGGTACTGTATTGTAGCGGGTAAAGCCGCCGCCTGCAGTGCCGGCATCCCATATGGATGCCGGTTTGAGTCCCAGCTGCCCCACTTCTGATCCAGCTCTCTGCTATGGCCTGGGAAAGCAGTGGAAGATGGCCCAATATGGAAAGCCAAGACTCTGTGACAAAAAAAATACCCTACACAGAGGATCTCTGTGAGATGGGAGAGAGAGAGGGAGGTGGGATGGGAGCTGGGTGGGGGGTAGGGTAGAAAGAACCATTATATTCCTAAAGTTAAAAAATTTTTTTTAAACTTTAATGTCTGCTGTTCTTGTTTTTCAAAGATTTATTTATTTACTTGAAAGTCAAAGTTACACAGAGAAAGAAGGAGAGGGAGAGGGAGAGGGAGAGAGAGAGAGAGAGAGAGAGAGAGAGAGGTTTTCCATCCACTGGTTCATTCCCCAGATGGCCACAACAGCTAGAGCTGCACTGATCCGAATCCAGGAGCCAGGAGCCGGGAGCTTCCTCCGGGTCTCCCACGTGGGTGCAGGGGCCCAAGGACTTGGGCCTTATTCTACTGCTATCCCAGGCCATAGCAGAGAGCTGGATGGGAAGTGGAGCAGCCGGGTCTCGAACCTGTGCCCAAATGGGATGCCGGCGGTTCAGGCCAGGGTGTTAACCCACTGCGCCACAGCGCTGGCCCCAGGTCTATCTGTTTTAAGAGAAAATTTTCTTCAAAGAAAATGCTGAGGAGTGAGTGGAGCAGTAGTTGAGCATCGGCATCCCATATTGGACTTTCCAGGCTTGAGTCAGCTCCGCTCTCCATTCCAGATTCCTACTGATGCACACCCTGAGAAGGCAACAGGAGGATTCAGATAGTTGGATTCCTAGGAGACCTGGGTGGAGTTCCAGGCTCCTGGCTTCAGCCTGGCCCAGCTCAGGCTGTTGTAGTTCTTTAGGGAGAAACCAGCAGATGGGAGATCCATTCTCTCTCTCTTTCTCTCTCTCCTTCTTTCTCTGTGTAACTGTGACTTTCAAGTAAGATCAATAAATGTTTTTTTTAAATGTACTGCAATAAACTTGCCATCGTCACTCATGTTGTGCTTTGGGGCCATCAAGTAAAAAAGGGTAACTTGAACACAAGTGTTGTAATGCTTCAACAGTTGCTAGCAAAAACTCAGATGGCTACTAAGTAACTAATAGCAGGTCTGCTTGATAGCATGGATACACTGGACACATCAGTGAATCCAAGCCCAGGTGGGCTGAGGGGTGGGCATGAGATCTCATCACTCTACCTCAGAACAGCATGCAATTTAAGATTTATGAATTTTTTATTTCTGGGATTTCCTATTTACCATTTCAGACCACTGTTGGCTGCAGGCAATGGACCTTGGAAATAAAACCTCAGCTAAGAGAGACTACTGTATACAAATGGATAATTAAATGAAAAGATCCTCAAGGTCACTAACCATTAGAGACTTACAAATCAAATCCACAACAAGATAGTGCTACATACCCGTCAGGAGAGTTACTGATTTAAAATGAAAAATATTGGCCAGTGCTGTGGTATAGAGGGTTAAGCCACTGTCTGCAGTGCCAGCATCTATATGGGCACTGGTTCGAGTCCTGGCTGCTTCACTTCCCATCCAGCTCCCTGCTAATGTGACTGGGAAAGCAGTAGAAGATGGCCCAAGTCTTTGGGCCCCTGAAACTGCGTTGGAGACTCGAAGAAGCCCCTGACTCCTGGCTTCGGACTGGCCCAGCTCCAGCCGTCGGGACCATTTGGGGAGGGAACCAGAAGATGGAAGATCTCTCTCTCTCTCTCTGCCTCTACCTCTCCCTCTCTGTAACGTCTTCTTTCAAGTAAAATAAATAACTATTTTTAAAAATAAAATAAAATGGAAAATAACAAGTGTTGATAGGGATGTAAAGAAACTGGAACTATTGTGTATTGTTGGTAATAATGTAAAATTGTACAGCTGCTAGCTAAACTAGGAATTACCATACATACCAGCAATTCCACTTCTAGGTATACACCCCCAAAGAATTGGACACAGAGACTCAAATGGTTATTTTTAAAAAGATTTTTATTTATTTATTTGAGAGCCACAGACAGAAAGAAGGAGAGAGAGAAAGGCGGGAAGGTTTTCCTCTTTTTTAAGCATGGCCCCCCCCCCCCCCCCCCCCGCCAATGGCTGCAATGGCTGGAGCCAGACCAATTCAAAACCAGGAGCCAGGAGGAAACCCCTGCCCCAGGATAGGGCCCCCTGTGGGTACAGGGGCCCAAGCACCCAGGCCCCCCAACACCACCCCCTCCTGCCCCCAGGCCACAAGCAAATAGCCAGATCAGAAAAGGGAAAGCCAGGACATGGGACACAGGACACGAAAGGGGGCCGGCGCCACAGGCGGAGGCCCAGCCCACTATACCACAGCACGGACCCCTCAAATAGATAGCTTTATACCAATACTCATAGCAGCATTATTTACAATAGCCAGAAGGTATGAACAACCCAATGTCCATTGACAGATGAACGGCTAAGCAAAATGTAGTCTTGCCTACATAAAATATTTAGCCTCTAAAATGAGTAACATGCTGATACTTGCTAGGACACAGGTGAATCTGAGGAACATTATACTAAGTAAATGAAGCCAGACACAAAAGGACAACTTTTGTATGATTCCACTTATATTAGTTACCTAGAACAGACAAATTCAAAAAGAAAGTAGAGGTTATCAGAGGCCGGGCTGGGGTGGGGGGGATGAGGAATAACTGTACCTCTCACTGTTGCAAGAGAGATCTATGAAGACATAGGCAATATTGAGATTTAAATGGACATGGGCTTAAGTATTGGCTCTGCCATTTACTGTGTGATATGGGTCAAGGTAATTAACCTTTTAAAATCTCAGTATGGTAACCTGAAAAAAAAAAAAACCCAATAAGCAGGAAAATAGTCCTACCGAACTCACAGGAGGAATTGTGAGGGCTGAATGAACTAATGCATACAAAGCACTAGCACAGAGCCTAGCACAGAATGTGCTCAATGAATGTTAGCTATTATTAACCTTAGAACAGTTCCAAGTACACGACAATAAATTTCTGGTGAAAGGACACATGCAACTGCATATTTGCTATAACGATGAGATTGATTGAAGCCACAGTTGGGAAGAAAGAGGAGAGCTTTACAGGGAAAAGGGTGCAGAAGAACTCATTAGAAACAAACAGCAACATGACAGAACCCGGAAGTACATTCTGTATGCACCTGACAATGTGTTAGTGTGTATTTTAAATGTGTGTATCAAGTTACTTCTTGAATCAGTTCTCCCCCATCAAGATAAACATAATTCATGCCATTTTTTCCCTTCTACTTCTCAGTTTCTTTTGAGAAGGGGCTGACAATTTGGCAATAAGAAAGCAATTTCCTAACTGTATGACTGTATCTCTAACTAGATTGCAAATTTCTTAAGGATAATTTTTTTTGCCTCCTTCTCATGAAACACCATATTTCAAGCACTTAATAAATGGTTCAAATTAAGACGTTAAATTCTCAATTAACATATGTTGAATGATTGAATTTATAAGTGGACAGTTATCCCTTGTGTTCTCCTCCTCCGCACCTAGGGATGCTCCCTAAGAAAGTTCTATCAGAGCACTACTTTCATTTATCAAAAACTTATATCTAGGGGCCGACACTGTGGCACGGTGGGTAGAGCCGCCTTCTGCAATGCCAGCACCCCAAATGAGCTCTGGTTAGTGTCCCAGCCGCTCTACTTCTGATCCAGCTCTTTGTTATGGCCTGGGAAGGCAGCAGAAGATGGCCCAAGTGCTTGGGCCCCTGCATCCACATAGGAGACCTGAAATAAGCTCCCGGTTCCTAGCTTCCACCTGGCCCAGACCCGGCTGTTGCAGCCATCTAGGAAGTGAACCAGAGAATGGAAGCTCTCTCTCTCTTTCTTTCTCTCTCCCTCTCTGTAACTCTGAGTTTCTAATAAATAAATAAATAAATAAATATTGAAAATTTATATCTGCTTCTTTAATCAAAGGTTTTGAGTTGCTTCTAGTGTTATTTACTGTACAAAGTAAAAGTAACTAGGAGATTAAGAGAAACAAGTTATTTATTATATGAGAAAGGTCAACATATGCCAATAAAGTTCATAGTTAATAGACATGGGTTACTAATTTGGTTCTGAGCTTCCTAGCAGCCATCACATAGAAAATTAAGCACATGACTTACATTTTCCATACTATTCAAAACTGTTAGCTATTTCAGTTACTAAAAATACAAATTTTCCTTTGAGTTATCATTAAAGGATTCTTTTTGGGAATGCCTTCAAGAATATTCTACACTGAACGTAAAAATATTCTTAGTGGACCATTTTGTATTACGGCCCCCAATATAGTCCCGTGGCATAATACCAACATAAAGATTAGTGGATGGATTATAAAAGAAACCAACTGATTTTGTCTATATCTGAAGCTGTGCTGATCTATCTTAACTGAATGAGAAAAATTACACATCTAGAAGAAATGACTAGAATAAATTAGTCTTCAATTCTGTAATCTTTAACAGGCACCCAGAAAGTCTCTTATATTATGAGTATGTCTTTAAAGAAGATTCCTTGACATCACTTGAAGAAAGTTCTGGAACTTTCCAGGTCACATGACTAAACTGGAAGCCATTTTATGACCCCAACGATTGTGGATCATGGAGTTCCCTGAGGAAGAGCCCATCGATTTGTCAGAAGATGATTTAATACTAATAGCACTAACATCAGAAGAAATGATCTACCAACAACAACAAATGCTTGCCAACCAAAATGCGGAAATGGCCCGTTGTCAGAGCCCTGAACATGTTGACGGTCCCAGAACTGAAAATGCCAGCGGCCCCGGCATGGACAATGCCAGCGGCCTCGGCACTGAAAACGCCAGAGGTCCCAGCAGGGAAAGTGCCAGCGACCCCAGCACGGAAAGTGCCAGCGACCCCAGCAGAGAAAGTGCCAGCGACCCCAGCAGGGAAAGTGCCAGCGACCCCAGCAGGGAAAGTGCCAGCGACCCCAGCAGGGAAAGTGCCAGCGACCCCAGCAGAGAAAGTGCCAGCGACCCCAGCAGGGAAAGTGCCAGCGACCCCAGCAGGGAAAATGTTGCTGACCATAGCACCGCAACAACCAGCAACGAAGTCGCTGGACTTCAGGTTGACCAAGGCCCTGGAACTGATGCTGACGGAGGTGCCCAAGCTGCTGCCCAAACTCCTTCCGAAAACCTCCCAGAAAAGACAGGTAAGAGGCTTTTACATTTTTGTCACACGCTGAGGATCTTCTTTGGCGGGAGCGCAGCACTAAAAGTTGGTTTGAATTTGTGTCCTCCAAAAGATGTTTAGTAGCCACTGTGTTGACAGGGGGAATCATGGGTAAATCAGTAAGATAATAGTTTGGGCATGGATTCAAGTTATTTAAAATGAGTTTACACGGTGCCATATCTATCACCAGACGAGGTCACCTTACGAAGGGGCAAAAAAGTCCAACGTAACGGATGACAGGAGCAACCAAATGTGCTTTTACAAGTCCCACCGGTTAAAATCCCCTGGCTGCCCAATGGTGGCCCCTGTGGAGAGGCAACTTGTTTTGGAGCCTCAGTCTTCTCCGGCGAGGCCCCAACGCCATGACTTCCCATAGGCGCTTAGCCCCTGTAGCACTTTCTCGCCCCGCGTGCGGCGAGCCGGCCTCCGCCTGTCCATTCGGCCTGTGGCCGTGGGGGCGTGGCAAGAAGGGGAGGAGCCAGCGCGCGCCTCTCCTACCTGTCCCCCGCCGTCCGCTCGCAGTCCGCTTCTGTGTCCCGTGCGAAACCCACTTGCCGTCCGCCGGGAGCGCACCCGACAAAGACGTCCGCGCCAGCCCGCATAGGCTTTCAGGTGGCGGGCACCAGTCCGCAGATCAGCAGGTGAGTAGGGGGATTGGCAGGGCTCCGGAGACCCACTCAGCACCTGCGACAGCACGCCGGGCTTCCCTCCCTGGCCCGCCTGCACTGCAAGGTGCGAAGGCTGGGGCCCCTTTGGCCCCGTGGGAGGTTTTCAAAGAAAGTGGGATCAAAGCCTAGGAGTTGAACTTTTGTCTTCAGAGGCGTAGTGCCTCAGGGATAAGGATGGGGCGACAGTGGCCAGTGGCTCCAAACTGCAGCCAGCGGCTCTGAACTTGAAAAAATACCAGCAGCGTGGGCTTATGCTGACTTGTCTTAGACTGTCTGGAGCGTGCTATCCTACAGGTGCATAGAATTTCAGTTATAATTCGGCTGAAGTGAGATAGAGCTAGGGGTGAATGTTGGAGAGCGGTTTTGTTCATTTAATTAGGCATTAAAGAGTGCTTGCTGGGGGAAAAAAGTGAATGCCTCTTCTTAAAGTAAATACCATACAACCATTTCTGTGGGTAAATGTAGGTAACACGTCATAAAAAAAATTAAAACTCCTTGCAACCAAGGTTGCCCACCTTCTCTCCCATGGAATCTTTTATTAGGGCAGTTTTCAAACAACTACTTTGAAACTGTTTCGGTCTTTAAATTCTTTCATCCATAAAAGAGGAGTTACCAAAAAAGCCAGTTAAATGAACAAAATGCCTTAGTCTTAGTTCTGCTGAGAAATGTAAAAGTTACTATTGATCTGATAAAATTTTGCTTACCAGCTAGTTCTTCAAATAATGTTTCTGCTCCCAACTTTGTTTCTTACTCTGTTCTGTTAGGCAATGTGCCCAGCCCCCAGGGTTTTTTTTTCTTTAATTTACTTTATTTTAATTAACTTTTTTCTTTTGTATTTATGTAAATACAAAATACATTGTATATGTGCATATATACAAGGGGACTTCACGGAAATACATATTATTAGCAAACTATGCATGGATTTCAAACTTTTTACACCAAATAAACTCTTTTAATTGCATTTTCCACGAATTTGTTGAAGTACCGTCATGTGTGTGTGTGTGTGTGTGTGTTTATGACAAAGCACAAAGACACAAAAAGAGAAGAAGTGACTACACAAATAATGCTTCCCCCACCCCTATCCTGGGGGTCTGCTTTTCCATTGCTGACTCCTTTGAGCTTGCCGTGCTTTTCTGATCGTTTTCCATGCTTTTTCTGATAGTAAAACATTGAAATGTCTCATGAATGATTTCACCCTAAGAGAGTCCCAGACCTGCTTCTAAGCGTTAAAACATAGGCTTTAGTGCTTTTAAGTGAGATTTCATATTCAAAACTCAGAATCCAATTACTGATTTACAGAGTATTGGGGACTGTACATTGAAGCTTTTTAACTTAATGTATAAGCTTTTATAACTTGGTGTATAGCATAGTGTCCTTAGAACATAAGAACATGTTGTCAGGTTTCATACATGTACAATGCCTTTCTTTCCACCTTGGAGGAAAATCTTCCTCAAAAGTGTAGGCCCTAATACTCAAAATGAAGACCGCTATGGATATATCCCAAATAGATGGCAATTTGATTTTTAAAATATTTATTTTTATTAATTTGAAAGGCAAAGTTAGAGGGAGAGACGAAAGAGATCTTCCATCTGCTTGTTCACTCCCCACGCGGCTACAAAGGCTGCGCTGAGCCAGGTTGAAGACAGGAGCTTAGAACTCCATCCAGGTCTCCCACATAGGTGGCAGGGGTCCAAATACTGAGGCCATCTTGTGCTGTTTTCTCAGGCACATTAGCAGGGAGCTGGACCAGAAATGGAACAGCTGGGACTCAAACTGGCACTCACATGAGATGCTGGCATCGCAGGCAGCAGCTTAACCTGCTGCGTCACAACGCTGACCGCAGAAAAGATGATTAAAAATAAGGATTAATCTTGGATCCATCAGTCCCACTTCTGGGTAAATGGGGGGTCTTCATAGAGTTCATGGAGAATGCGTACTATGAAAAAACTATGCATGGATTTAAAAATTTTGGCACCAAAATGAGCTTATCTTGTAATTATATTTTCCACAAACTTTTTGAAGTATGCTTGTGTATCTTAAGGACTTAAAGTTGACATGTCAAAGAAATGGCTCCACTCCCATGTTTATTGTACCATTATTTACAATAGCCAAGTATGAAATCAATTTAGGATTCCATCAACAGATAAATGTAGAAAGAAACTGTGGTATATATGTACAGAAGAAAACTAGTTAGTCTTAAAAAGAAGAAAATTCTGTCATTTGAAACAATATGGATGAACCTGGAGGACACTGTGTTGGGTGAAATAAGTGAGGCACAGAAAGACAAAATTCACAGGTTCTCATTTCTTTTTTTATTTTTATTTTATTTATTTGAAAGACAGTTACAGAGAGAGGTAGAGAGAGAGGTCGTCCATCCACTGGTTCACTCCCTAGATGGCCGCGACAGCCAGAGCTGCGCCGATAGGAAGCCAGAAGCCAGGAGCCAAGAGCTTCTTCTGAGTTTCCCACGTGGGTGCAGGGGCCCAAGGACTTGGGCCATCTTCTATTGCTTTCCCAGGCCACAGCAGAGAGCTGGATTGGAAGAGGAGCAGCCGGGACTAGAACCAGTGCCCATATGGGATGCCAGTGCTTCAGGCCAGGGCTTTAACCTACTGCGCCACAGCGCCAACCCCAGGTTCTCATTGCTACGTGGAATTGAATACAGTTGAGCTCACAGAAGCAGAGGGTGGAATGGTGGTTACCAGAAGTTGGCAGATGAGAAGAATAGGGAGATGTTAATTCAAAAGGTAAATAGTAGTAGAGAGGAGGAATGCGTTATAAAAATTTGAGTCAATTCCACAACATCTACATAAAACATCCCTGTGTATCCATAGTTATCTACAATTATAATTTGTAAAATCATCACATTGACTTGGATGAGATTATTCACTCTTTTGAAGATGTACTCTTCTCTCTTTTTAAAAAGAATATTTATTTGAAAGGCAGAGCTACAGTGAGGCAGAGGCAGAGAGAGAGAGAGGGGTCTTCCATCTGCTGGTTCACTCCGCAGATGGCCACAACGGCTGGAGCTGGATGATCCAAAGCCAGGAGCCAGGAGCTTCCTCCAAGCCTCCCTTGCGGGTGCAGGGGCCCAAACACCTGGGCCATCTTCTATTGCTTTCCCAGGCCATAGCAGAGAGCTGGACCGGAAGCAGAGCAGCCGGGACTAGAACCGGCGCCCATATGGGATGCTGGCACCCCAGACTGGGGCTTTAATCCACTGCACCACAGTGCCAGCCCCAGTGTATTTTTTTAAATAAAGGTTCTTTAAATAGGTGGTGGTTTGATGATTAAATGAAACTCTAGACCTAATGCATCAGTGTAATTCCAGGCACATAGAATGCACACAGTAGATGTTAGTAATGAATAAATCAAATCAGATTTTAAGTTTTATTCCTATCGAAACTTCAGGAATGCATCTATTGCATGAAGTTAGGTATACGCATGTAAATAGTCCAGCCATATGCACTGGACTCCTGACTTTCCCCAAGGGGAGCTCAGAGCTGCTGATTCTGCCCCTAGAGTCATATAAAGCTACCTGCTCTGCCGTAGGCTGTATCCTTCCAACCCGTCCATTGAGATGGCTGAAGTACTGAAAACCAGGTCTTTGTTCACTTCAAATCATCATAGAACACGCCTGCAAGTGGTTTCTGGGTTGATTTTGGCCTTTGGTTTGCACTCTCCCTTGCGGATGTCATGTGGTTTGCTTAGGTAGCCACCACTGTGTTGTTGAATTGCAATCCTTTACCTGAGAGTTTATCATTAAGAAAATTAAACATGCTTCAGACAGTTCTTACTTCATTTGTTCATCAAATGATGTCATGTAATTTGGGTTGACTTGGGAAAATGCGTACATATTGGGGGAGAGATAAGGTGACTTTTAGAAATAGTCAAATTATATTAAATAAGGTCTTGCAGAACTGTTCACATTCCAGTGAGGATTATGGGCAAGATCATTTAACCAGTGCTACCAGAAGTGGTCAGCAGAGGGCATAAAAGAAGTTTATAGCAACTTACTGTTGGTTTTCTTTGTTTGTTTGCATGGACTCGAAAACAAGACATGACTAAAAGCCAGGATGAAGTTCCTCATGAACTTGAGAACCAGTTTATATTACGTGTGCCTCCGGTAAGACGTTGTTCTGTCTCAGGGAAAATATCTTCAGTACGCAGGTATCATTCTGCTTGGATTCTGTAACGTTTCTATTTGAGATAGGCTGTGAAAACTCAGAACATTTGTCCCCTAGGAATCATGTTCTATTAGGCAGTCCCACCATCGTGTGTATTCCTGTAGCAGCATTTCTTTCTTCTTGTGCATTCCACCTATCATGTGGATTGATTTCCAGGCAAAACAGTTGCAGCAGTGAAGGGTCCAGTCACTTACACAGACACTAATACCCCATTCTCTGGACAGCCAAGATAAGGCTCTTCTGAAATCCTTTCTGTCTTCTTACCGGGAACAGTGAAAGGGACCAGCACTGTGTCTTCTGGAAATTCATCACCATGCAAGGCTGTCACAGCTCATCTCAACATCGTGTTCAGCTCTCTTCTCCCATTGATATCTGTATTCAAACGTTACTTAGTCTAGAAAGCTACATTAAGGATAAGGTTCAGAAAGCTATTTCTTCAGTTAGGGTTAATGAATGTACCAAGTAGGGGCTGGTGTCATGGCACAGTGAGTTAAGCTGCCACTTGGAACACCCACATCCCATATCAGAGTGCCTTGTTTGAGTCCTGGCTACTCTGCTTCCCATCCAGTTTCCTGTTCATATGCCTGGGAAGCAGCAGATGGATGATCCAAGTATTTGGGTTCCTGCCACCTATGTGGGAGAACTGGATAGAGTTCCTGGCTCCTGGCTTCAGCCTGGCCCAGCCCCAGCTGTTGTGGCCATGTAGGAAGTGAACTATCAGGTGGAGGATCTCTCTCTCTCTCTCTCTCTCTCTCTCCCCTCCCTCTTTCCCTCCCTCCATCTCTCTCTATCTGCCTTTCAAAACATTAAATAAGTAGTCATTTCTGTGTATATTTATATATGTGGAAGTTTTTATTTAAAGGAGGGCTTTCTTTGATATATTTATTCTATAGTGGCCAAGTAAACACTCCTGACTTCTCACATTACCTTCTTTGCAGGAATATGCTTCTACTATCAGGAAAATGGTGCGTTCTAGAGATGTCGCCATGAAGGATAAACTAAAAATTGACCTCTCTCGTAAGTAACTAATATCCATTTGCCATACAATGAGCAATAACCTATTAAGATATTGCTATGTGCCAAGCACTCAACTAGGTACTAAGGATATGAAAAAGAACAGAACGTGCCCTCTGTCTTGATGGACTCATGGTTTAGGGAGGTTTAAGTTAATCACACATCTTCTTTTAGGAGTAAAGAAAGTAAGAATTATGCAACTTGAAGTGAGGAATTATCGTAGTGCTCATAAGAAAAAGCTTGGGGATCAACTGGGTAGTCTCCTAGGTTTATGGTTTCTGGATGCCCAAGGGAATAAAAATTATGTCATTCTTCATCTACAAAGGTGACAGTTTTCTTTCTTTTAAGTAGTTTTTTTAATATTTTCAAACCATGCATCTGATAAGGAAGCAATATCCAAAACATATAAGGAACTCAAACAACCCAAGCAAGAAAACAAATAACCTTGTTTAAAGATGGGCAGAAGACTTAACAGACACTTCTCAAAAGAAGGCATATAAATGGCTAACATGTTCAAGAAAAAAAATGTTCAGCATCACTAATCATTCGGGAACTGCAAATTAAAACTATGATGAGATATCACTTCACACCTGTTAGAATGGCTTTTCTATATTTGTGGGGAAAAGGTACCCTGGTACACTGTTGGTGGGAATGTAAACTGGTGCAATGACTGTGGAAGACAGTATGGAGATACCTCAGAAGTCCGAATAGAGACCTACCATATGACTCAGCCATTCCACTCCTGGGAATTTACCCAAATCAAAAGAAATGAGTATATGAAAGAGTGATCTGTACCCCCATGTTCATTGCAGCTCAGTTCACAATAGCTAAGATATGGAATCAACCCAGATGTCCATTAACTAATGACTAGATAAAGAAACTCTTTATGTATGTATATATATACACATAGTATGTGTATACATAGTATGTATATATATATATACACACATACATACTATGGAGCACTATTTAACTGTAAAAAAAAAACGAAATCCTTTCTTTTGCAATAAGATGGTTGTGACTGGAAATATTATACTTAGTGAAATAAGCCAGTCCCAGAAAGACAGATATCATATGTTTTCCCTGACCCTAGGTAACTAATAGAGTACCTGAAATATAATGTATTGGAGTGAAATAGACATCTTGAGAATCAATTATTGTCTATAGCCCTGTCTCTTTCATTGAGGAACAGTGTTTTGTATTGTTTTGTTTTCTCTTATACTATTTGTTGAACTATTTTTTTTTTTTATTATTTTTTGACAGGCAGAGTGGACAGTGAGAGAGAGAGACAGAGAGAAAGGTCTTCCTTTGCCGTTGGTTCACCCTCCAATGGCCGCCGCGGCCGGCGCGCTGCGGCCTGCACACCGCGCTGATCCGATGGCAGGAGCCAGGAGCCAGGTGCTTTTCCTGGTCTCCCATGGGGTGCAGGGCCCAAGCACCTGGGCCATCCTCCACTGCACTCCCTGGCCACAGCAGAGGGCTGGCCTGGAAGAGGGGCAACCGGGACAGAATCCGGTGCCCCGACCGGGACTAGAACCCGGTGTGCCGGCGCCGCTAGGCGGAGGATTAGCCTAGTGAGCCGCGGCGCCGGCCTTATTTGTTGAACTATTTTATTTAGGGTAGGTTAACTATACGATCATTAAATGTACTGAAAATAGATCATTGTAAAAATTAAGAGTGGGAATCTGAGGGGGGGGGGAGGAAGGGTTGGCACATGGAGGGGAGTGCCACTATGTTCCTAAAACAGTATAAAGGAAACATATGAAACTTGTATAACCTACATAAAATATATAAAAATTTTCTAAAAATGAGCTAAAAAGATAACAAATGTTGGTGCAGATGTGGAGAAAAGGGAATCTTTGTACACTGTTGGTGGGAATGTACATTAACAAAATGGTGTGTGGGCAAGCGTTATGGTATAGCAGGTGAAGCCATCGCCTGCGACCCCAGCATCCCATATGGGCTCTGGTTCAAGTCCATTTTCAATACATTCCCTTCTAATGTGCCTAGGAAAGCACTGGAAGATGGCCCAAGTACTTGGGCCTTTGCACGCACACGGGAGACCCAGAAGAAGTTCCTGGCTCCTGGCTTCATCCTGGCCCAGCCCAAGCCATTGTGGCCCTTGTGGCCATTTATATGGAAGATCTCTCTCTCTCTCTCTCTCTCTCTCTCTCTCTGGGTGTGTGTGTGTGTATGTGTGTGTGTGTAACTGTGCCTTTCAAAGAAATAAAAATAAATTGATTAAAAAAAAGCACTTTGGTGGTTCCTCAGAAAGCTAAAAATAGAATTACCATAGGACCCCACAACTCCACTTCTGGGAATATACCCAAAAATTGAAGTAAATATGTTGAGAGGATATCTGTAATCCCTTGTTCCTTGCAGCAGCATTATTCACAATACCCAAGATGTAGAATCAACTCTAAGTGTCCATCGATGGATCAATGGATAAAGAAAATGTGGCATATACATACAGTGAAATACTATTCAGCCTTAAAAAGGACATTCTCTCTGCATTTTTTAAAGTTAATTCGTTCAAAACAATCATGTCAACTGTGGCTCTGCATCTTTCTTTTTCTTTACTTACTATTAGAGGATTATACTCAAATCCTCTTGTGTTTGAGAAATCTGAGCCAGATTTAGTGTTCATTATATTTGGCTAATGGATAGAATTTTATCTTTGTGAGGCCAATTAGAGATTTTAACTTAAGACTTAATAGCACCATCTAGGATGAACCATTTGAAAACACACATACAGTGACACAATCGAATGCTTTTTTTTCTTTTGTAAGCCTATGCACTTTATTTATTTATTTTTAAAGATTTATTTTTATTTATTTGAAAGGCTGATTTACAGAGAGGCAGAGAGAGAGAGAGAGAGAGAGAGAGAGAGAGGTCTTCCATCTGGTGGTTTACTCCCCAGATGGCCGCAAAGGCCAGAACTGCACTGATCTGAAGCCAGGAGCCAGGAGCTTCCTCTGGGTTTCCCACACGGGTGCAGGGGTCCAAGGATTTGGGCCATCTTCTGCTGCTTTCCCAGGCCATAGCAGAGAGCTGGATCGGAAGTGGAGCAGCTGGGACTAGAACTGGTGCCCATATGGGATGCCAACACTGCAGGTGGTGGCTTTACCCACTATGCAATAGTGCAGGCCCCTTGAATGCTTCTTTAAAAAGGAATGAGTTTAAGTGGACAGAATTTGCCTTTTAGGATGAGAATGAAACATTTATTGCCTCATCCACATTGACCTCACAATCATCAGCAAGAAACCTAGCTACTTTTGAATGAGTGTCATACTCTCCCTTCTCTTCTCTTGGAGTCTACTTCTACATGCACAGTTCCACTAGTATGACCAAGAGTAGGTTGCACAGGAAGACTAGTCTATTCCACTGTGATTAATGAATAAGCTAATTCAGATCCTAGGAGGCTTACTTTTCCCTACTTCTTCTTAGCTGATGGGCGCAGAGCAACCGTTGAAGTGGACAAGGTCTCACTGGCTGCCAAGCTGGTTGATTTGCCCTGTGTTGTTGGAAGCATGAAAACTTTTGATAAAAAAACCTTTTTTACAACAGCAGACATTTCCCAGGTATGGGCTAGTTTTCTTCATCTACTGGCTCTCACATCCTTCAAGGAATCCCTTTCTCTCTCCTTTTCCAATTTTTTTTCAGTACTCTTTTCCACTTGCTGAAGGACTGCTTGCCATTTATAATTTTCAGACCGATTGCCCAGGAATAAAGTGTTACGTTCTGGTTTGGTGTTTGATCGTTAACTTTTCACTACCACTTTTTTATCCAAATGGCCTGTCAAGCCCCCTGTTCGTGACTTCCATAAGTTGAAAAATATGAGCAACTGAGATCTTCTGAACTTCCTGTTGACACACTATGTCCTTAACTCTGGAGGTTTAAGTTGGCTCTTATTCATCATTTCTGTTTTTGCTTTATTATTTCGTCTCTAAATCAGAACGCTAAGAATATATGCGGTTTTGATGTTTTCCCTCCAAAGTGGTAAGCACTGTAGCTTACACCAAGAACTCAGATTCCATAGACAGTGCTGCAGTGAGGAGAGGAGAGAGAAAATATGGATGAGAATATGAATGTATATTACTTAATACTTGGTTTTCTGGAAATGCCAGGTATCAGTCGCCTTTATGCTCCAGGATTTCTGGTTGTAGGAACGATCATGATTCATTACTTAGCCTAGATTTATGGCCATAGTAACTTGTTTGTCTTCGTTACACGTAGATGCTTGTGTGCACTACTGCTGATGATCAGCCGCAGTCTTCTCCAGAGGAACCAGTTGCCTCTGCTGATCTTGATTTAATGGATATAAGTGAGAGAGAGAAGAAGAAGAGTTATACCTGGAAACATGGCAGTAAGTCACCAGTCCCTTGCTCATTCTGGCTGACTACAGTTATCTGCTGAGTCCTGGTTCCCTGTGAACCAGACACCTCTTACCTGGTTCATTTAGGCTCTCAGACACTCGAAGGAGTCAGGTTGTGAGCCAGTGGCTTCTATCATGGCTTTTCTCTTATTAAATTTGAATTTGTAGCTACTATCAGTTGTATGTATGTTTCACCACATTTTGTTTATTTTAGTTACTCCACCACTTAAGAATGTCAGAAAGAAAAGATTCCGGAAAACAACAAAAAAGGTTAGTTGCCTGTTATCTGTGTGTCTTCTGTGTGGATGAGAAGAGGATTATGAGTGGGAAGGAAAGGGAGAGTCAGTTGGGAAGTAATTTGTTCACTCATTCATATGCTCAGTAAACATTTATCGAGTGTGAGCTAAATGCCAGGCACTGTGTGCCAGCAGTTGAGAATATAGCAGTGAATAAAAGAAGACCTGATTCTGAAAGTTATAGGCTAGGCTAGTCATGAGGGATCTGGAAGGACTGTGGATTTGAAATGTCTGTTAATGCTTTTAGTTTTTGATTGCAAGATCTAGTTTTAAAGTAAGCCTGTGCAGAACCTGAGAACTGGGAACTGTGATTATATTCCTAGTTTTACTTCAGGCTTTCAAAACCTTGGGCAAGCTATGGAGTACTATACTTGGGGGGTGGCAATGGCGGCTTCTTCTTCTTGTCTTCATCTTCTTCTTCTTCTTCCTCAGTTAACCTTTTTTATTTCAAAATAATAACATGAAGTTTTAAGAAATAAAAGACATACTGTGAACCCTTTCTCCCAGTTTTCCCCACTGTAACATTTTGCAAAAAAATTGTATAGTATAATATCACAAACAAGAAATTGGCATTTTATAATTCACCAATAACATAATTATTTCTCTAGTTTTACTTACTTGTATGTGTGTGTGTGTGTGTGTGTGTGTAGTTCTGTGTGGTTTTATCCCATCTGGAGGTTCATGTATCCACCTACACAGTCAAGATGCTGACCAGTTCCATCACCACAAGTATCCCTCATCTTGCTTTGTTTTTTTTTTTTTTTAAGATTTATTTATTTATAGGCAGAGAGAGAGAGAGAGAGAGAGAGAGGTCTTCTATCTGTTGATTTACTTCCCAAATGGCCACAATGGCCAGAGCTGGGCTGATCCAAAGCCAGGAGGTTCTTCCAGGTTTCCCACATGGGTGCAGGGGTCCAAGGACTTGGGCTATTTTCTGCTGCTTTCCCAGGTCATAGCAGAGAGCTGGATTGAAAGTGGAGCAGCTGGGACATGAACTGGCACCCATATGGGATGCCAGCACTGCAGGCAGTGGCTTTACCCACTACACCACAGCGCCGGCCCCTTACCCACTACACCACAGCGCCAGCCCCCATCTTGCTATTTTATAACCATACCCACTTCCCTCCCAGCTTATGTTCCTGGTTCCTAACACCTGGCGATCTCTACCCTGTTCTCCATCCCTGTAATTCCATCATTTCAAGAGTGTCACATAATCGCTTCTTGGCCTTTTGGCTAAGATCAAATGAAGAATGTCACATAAATGGAATCATGTAGTATATAACATTTGAGATTATCTTTTCCTCCTACTCAGCATAATTCCCTTAGAATCCCTACAAGTTTATGTATGTATCAATAGTTTATTCCTTTTTATTGCTGAGTATTATTCTATGCTATTAATATACTACAGTCTGTTTAATTATTTACCCATTGAAGAGCATCTGGGCTGTTTCCAGTTTTTAACTATTACAAATAAAGCTACAAACAGGTTTTTTTTGTGTGAACCTAAGTCTTGATTTCTCTGGGATAAATGCCCAGGAGTACAATTTCTGGGTCATATGGTAGTTGCACATTTAACTTATAAAAAACTGCCATATTGGTTTCCAGAGAGGCTGTTCCATTTTATATTCTCATTAATAATATGAGTGATCCAGTTTCTCTACATCTTCACCAGTGTTAGTTTAAAAACAACCATTTTTTATTTTTGCCTTTCTAATAGGTATGTAGTCATTTCATGTGGTATTAATTTGCATTTCTCTGAGCTAATAACATTGAACATCTCATCTGCTTGTTTTCCATCTATGTATCTCCGCCTTAGTGAAATGTTTATTCTTGCCTTTTTTCCATTTTGTAAATGAATTTTTAAATTGTTAATACTTTGAGTTCTTTTTGTATTCAAAATACTAGTCTTGTCAGATATGTGGTTTACAGATATTTTCTTCCTTGTCTATAGCTTGTCTTTTCATTCTGTTCACAGGATCTTTCAAAGGGCAAGTTTTTCATTTTGATGAGGTCCAATATATTGTTTTTTTTTAAATTAGTTTTTAAGGATCTTTCTCACAACTCTTTGTCCAGCCCAAATCCTAAAGATTTTTATCATTCATGTTATATTTAAGCCTGTGGTCATTTTTTTGAATTAATTTTTTAAAACTATGAGGTTTAGTTCAAAGTTTTACTTTGTTTTGCTAAGGAGATCCAATTGCTCTAGCACCATTGGTTATCCTTCCTATGTTGTATTTTTTTTTAACCTTTGCCAAAAAATCAGTCAGGCATATTTGTGTGGCTCTGTTTCTGGATTCTCTATTCTATTCCATGGATCCAAATATCAGTCCCTCCAGAGATACCACAGTGGAGCTATATAATAGACCTAGAAATCAGGAGACTGATTACTGCCACTTTATTTTTCTTTGTCAATATTGTTTTAGCCACTCCGGAGCCCATACACCCTTGCATATAATTTTTAGAATAAGTTTGTCTATGTATACATTAAATCTTAGTGGAATTTTTATAGTAATTATGTTAAACTTATGGATGCATTTGGGGAAAATTGATATCTTTACTATGTTGAGTCTTCTGATCCATGAACACGGTTGCCTTGGCTTTTATATTCTGTTTGTCAACAGCATTTATTGAGTGCCTACAAGATATAAAACTAAATTAAAATAACTTCAGAGTTTTTTTTAAAGCTTTACTGAAATAGAGAAATTATATTGTAACTTAATTGTGTTTTATTTCATAGCTTGCTGATTTAAAAGAACTTGAAGAAATCAGCTTTAGTGAGGTAGAGCAATAATATTATACCTTCATTTTTTACCCTTGGTGTGTTTCGTTTAGTAGCTCATTAGTTTCAAGTAAATCAAAAAGTTGCTTTCAATCCTTCCTTCTCACCTCTAACCTCCACTCCCAAATACACTCTGCATGTGAGTCACTAAAAATTAAACTTATTGTTTAATGTCTGATGCCTCCTAGAGGAAAAGACACAATTTGGCCAGTTACCTATATATTCCTTTTTCTCTAATTTTGTTTCAAACTCCAGGGTTGGAAGCCAGGGTTCCCTTTTACCAGCAGTTGTTTGAAATTGCTTATTTCCCCTCAAAGATTTAATTTCTATTTGTGGCATGACGAATTGGTTGCTGTGGTGATAATTGTCTAAAACTGGATTCAAGGGAGAACATGTAGCTCAGATCCAGTTTTTGTAGGAACGTCTCTAATAATAAAGATGTGGGGAAGTCAAATCTGAGTATTTGCATCTTTAAAGCAAATTGCTTCTAATCAACGATTAAGGAAGTGCAGCCCTTTGCCAGTATGAATCAGGCAAAATAACAACTGAGACCTAGGAGTTGCATCTCTGAGAGGTCCTTATCATCAGGTGGCAGATTGAAAAAGCTAAAGGTCTCAAGTAATTTGTTGAATTGGCAATTAAGCCTACCATACAAAAATCTAGACCCTGGTTAAAGATTCCTTCATAACTAGCACTACTTAAAGTGGAAATTTGGTTGGGTGGGTATCTGAAGAGCCCTGATCATTTGAACTCCTGGGCATGTACAGAACACAATGTGTTAAATGACAGTACTGGTACCCCCCCCACCCCCCCAACACACACACACACTTTGTTCCAGTACGTTGATTCTCCAGCTGTGGAAAAGGAAGTGAAGAGACTGCTGTATTCAGATGCTGAAGCCATCAGTGCCCGTATCCTTTATACCAAATATTTGCCAGATAGTCTGTTCCATCACATATGCTCGTGTCGATATACCTGCACTTTTGGTATTTGTGTACCAATTTGGATATGTAGAATTTAAGATTTGGGGAAATGTTGCTTTCTCGCTAGAAACAGCGAATTCATGTAACAGAAATTTATTTACTTGTGTAATTCAGTCGAAGGTGTGTCTCTACACTGAAAACCCAGGTCCAAATGGCATAAAGTTGGACTAAACCAAATGTGTGTAGCCAAAAAGCCTCTTCCCTTTCAATTGTGCCTTCTCTTTCACTCTGCCTTTTCCTTAACTCCCCCATCCTTTCAGGATGGGAAGTCATTGCCGAAGGTGAAGACAAGGAAATTGAAAGTCAAGGCTGCATTTCAGGCTTCAAGATATCCCCAGGATCAAGCGGCGAGAAGCGTGGTCGTATCTCATCAGGTACTTTAGTAAAGGCACGCAGGAGCGTCAGATGGGGTGGGGTTGACTACATGTCAGATCACTTCGCACAGACTCGAAGAGCCATCAGAGAAAAAGGCTGCTTTTGCCCTTTGTCCCTCGTGTTGATCCCTCACTGCTTTAGGGGTGTTCAATTGGTTGGTGAATCTCTCATCTGTCCCTGGTATCTTAACTTCTTCCAGGCTCTTAGATTCTCCACATGTCTCAATCATTGAACACATGAATGAATGTTAACAGTGTTTTGCATTTCCTGTTCCTTGTTTTATGAAGGGAATAATCTTCCTACAAGAAAAAATGATACAAAATTAATTGGTTGCCCAGTGGACCTGAGGGTAAGAAGTAAAATTGTATCTGGCATGGGAGTTCCTTGCAGTACTTCAGAGAGTTTCACCTTCTTTTTGCTTAAAATCAATAGAATATAATATTCTTCGGGAGATGTTCAGTTTTAGTATTGATAATGAGGAGGAAGAGGAGACATCGTCAACAAAGAAGGATGAGGACGAAGACGAGGAAGAAGAGGATGAAGAGGATGAGGACGAAGACATGATAGAGGAAGAGGAGGAGACTGATTGTGAAGAGGATCTGGAAAGGGAGCTACAAGCCAAGTTGCTTGAATCTAACCTGTACAAGTCAAAGGAAGCTTCCAATGCCCTAGGTGAGTTAGAGGAAAACAATGGGACAGCATAGGTGGCAGTCCTGAAGGCTGACCCTAAGTGAGCATTAGATGCAAGGTCAAGTTTGAGAAGTGTTTGCTCACATGTGTAGTGGAGTTTTACATGATTCAAATCTTGGTCCATTAGTTTAGGCTCTATTTAGATATGTAAACTTTCTCTCTGTCTCTTAGTCCTAACAATTCAGAAGCAGATTCATTTCTTGGAGAGAAAGCTCCGTAACATTCAGTGCCAAACACAAAGACAGAATCATCTCTTCATGAAAGTGGAAAGCCTGCCACTCAAGGTAAGTTCCTGTTGGCTGGTAGAAAAAACTGCTGCTATCCTTCAAAATCCTAACTGTGCGTCCACTCTTGTCATCTCCGCAGCATTCTTGTTCATTCATGAACCTGAACAACCTCTTAGAAACCCACAATAAAAGATAGCTCTGCTTTCCTTCTTTCTTTTTTTTTTTTAAAGATTTACTTATTTATCTGAAAGGAAGAGTTGGGGAGGGGGACGGGGTGGATACAGAGATAGATTATCTTCCTTCCGCTGGTTCACTTCCCAAATGGCTGCTTGATCAAGGCTGGGCTAGGTTGAAGGCAGGAACCAGGAACTCCAACCGGATCTCCCACACCAGTGGCAGGGGCCCAAGTACTTGGGTCATTTGCTGCTGCTTTCCCAGGCACATTAACAGGGAGCTGGATCAGTCATGGAGCAGCCAGAACTCAAACAAGTGTTCATAAGGGATGCTGGTGTCACAGGCGGTGGCTTAACCTGCAGCAGGACAACACCAACCCCAGTTCTGTTTTCATTTACTTGAGTAATATAAGCAATTTTTGGATGGGACCAGGTGAGCTGAAATAATAATTGCCAATATTGAGCATTTACTATGTAAAAGGCATATCAACAGCTAATATTTCCAAGACAGAGAGATATTTCTTTTTTTTAAGATTTATTTTATTTATTTGAAAGAGAGAGTTACAGAGAGAGGTAGAGACAGAGAGAGAGGTCTTCCATCCGCTGGTTCACTCCCCAGATGGCCGCAACAGCCGGAGCTGTGCTGATCCGAAGCCAGGAGCCAGGAGCTTCTTCCAGGTCTCTTACGTGGGTGCAGGGGCCCAAGGACTTGGGCCATCTTCTACTGCTTTCCCAGGTCATAGCAGAGAGCTGGATTCGGATTGGAGCAGCCAGGACTCGAATTGGCACCCATATGGGATGCTGGCATTGCAGGTGGCAGTGTTACCTGCTATGCCACAGCGCTGGCCCCATGCATGTATTCTTGTTTTATAGATAAATATTTGAAATGCAAAGAGGGTAAGCAACTTGAAAAGGACCTTAGTAAATGGTAGGGCATAGGCTGAACTCTGTCGTTTGCACCAAAATGCTTTTCAGTGAAACTAACTAGCTGTTTTAAAATTTTATGATGTATGCAAGAATAAATATCATATCTTATTTTTACTAATTCATGTCGAAGAGCTTAACAATAGAAAAATGTATGTTTAGGCCATATTTGCTTTCATTTCTTTAATGACTGAAATTCTGAAGCACCCAGAGAATATCTTGCCAGATTTCATTTTCTATAGCGCTGTGGTTGTTGAAGGGGAGCAACACAAATCTATACCAATTTTGGGTGTTTGTCCTTTAAAAAACCAAGCAAGGGGCAAGGGCCAGACGCAGCAGTTAAGATGCCACTTGGGACACCTGCATCCCATATCAGGGTCCCAGATACACTACCAATTCCAGCTTCCTGCTAATGCACACCCTGGTAGGCAGCAGGTGATGGCTCAAGTACTTTGATCCCTGTGAGAGATCAGGATTGAGTTCCTGGCTTTTGGTTTTGGAATCAACCCAGCCCTAGTTGTTGCAGGCATTTGAGGAGTCAACCAGCAGTTGGAAGATCTCTCTCTCTCTCTTTCTCTGCATTTCAAATAAAATAAAAGTTTTCATAAAGAATACCAAGTAAGATAATAGATATGGATAGACTTTGAAAGATACAGATATATGGTATCAGTGTTTGGTTATTGTTGTTGTGTGTAGTACTTGTTAGGAACAGGAGCATTCTACCCTAGAAAAGGGAAATGGAAGGGGAGTCAGCACTGGCTTCCAAGCCAGCATCTTCAGTAGTTCACCACAGCCAAAGAATTTAGGGTAAGCTAGAAAAAAATTGAAGGAATTCCAACCACTTATTTTAGGGCAAGAAAAAATGCTGGGTAGGGTTACAAAATCAAATAGGATGGCACTGTAGTTAGGGAACGAAGTTTATTTATTTATGTTCACTTTATTTGAAAGGCAGAGAGAGAAAGAGAGATCTTCCATCTGATGGTTCATTACCCAAATACCTTCAAATAATACAGGTCATATAAAATGCAGTCAAGGTTGGGCCAGGATGAAAGCCAGGAACCTGAGACCCAATCCAGGTCTCCCACATGGGTGGCAGGGACCCAAGTACTTGAGCTAGCACCTGCTGCCTCCCAGGGTGCACATAAACAGAAAGCTGGATCAGAAGCAGAGGAGCCAGGAATTGAACCAGGCACCCTGACATGGCATGCAGACGACTTCAGCAGCAACTGAACTGCTGTGTCAAACGCCCAGCCCAAGGAGGGCATAGTTTTTATACTCCAAATCCTTTAGAAAGAGTGCTCTTTAATATGGCTGACATCTTCCTTACTTTTCAAATTATTTGCCAAACTCTTTGTCTCACTTGGTTCTCTTTTCCTTTGAGACTCAGCATTCATCATTTATAACATGTGTTTTCCAGAACCACTTAAAGTCTGTGCTGGAGAAGCTTAACTTAGAAGAGAAACAAAGAAATGAGCAGGTGAGAAGTGTTTTCAAATCAAGCAGAAAACATTTGATACAAAGAACACCCCCACCCAACCCCCAATCTCAATCCTGGCTATTCCTCCGATAGAAATAATGCTGTTCAATTCCAAGTGAGAGGAGAGCAGGGTAGAACAAGGTCTTTGTGAAAATTCTCTCAGTCAACAGATACTGCATATCTATGAAGTGAAAGGCACTAGATGAATAGAGTTGAGTAAGACAGATACAAAACTTGTCCTCAACAGTCTAGCAGGGGAGACTGGCATTAAACAAGCTATCCTACAAATATAAAGGTACACATTGTGAAGCCCTCCTGTGAAGGAAGAACAGTCAATTTTGCTATTAGAAGAAGGAGAGTTCTCAGTTAAATTAGGGGCATCATGATAGCCCCTCTGAGGAAGTGCTGTTTAAGCTGAGACCTGATGGATAAGTCCAGGCAAAGGGAGAGAGGAAGAGTTACTTGGGTGGAGGATATCCAAGGTTCTACAGTGAGAAAGAACTTGGCCCCTTTGAGAACCTCTGGAGTATTTAAAGCAAGAGAAGAGAGTGGCTTAACATAAGGTGGAAGAAGTGGGCAGAGGCCCTAGTGTATGGGTCCTTGCAGGCCATGACAAGGAGGGCAGGTTTTAGTTTTAAATGCAGTAAGAATCCCTTGAAGAGTTTTAAGCAGGAGAATCACATCTGATTTAAAGTTGAAAAAAACTGGTTGTAGTCATTGTCGGTGTGGGGGCCACTTAGTATCTGCGTGAGAGGAGCCTCTAAATTACTAGAGATAGCAATGACAGTGGTTTGCTAGGTGGTGTGCAGCATAGGATTGTGTCACGAGTCTCTCTTCCATTCATTTCACTTACAGAAAGCCCATACTGGTATGGGGTGACCTATACTGGATATAATATTCCAAAATAATCTTGGTCCCAAAGATGGTATCCATCTCTGAATGTTATTGGTCACTTGACCATTTCAAGTTGAAAAATGTAAATCTGATACCACACACACACAAAAAATCAGGGCTTCTGACTTAGATTGAGAAGATCATCAGGACCCTGACCTGATTTCTAAGTGTCTCATAATGTGGCAAGAAGCAGCAGATAAGACCCACTGCAAGGAAGGGAATATTATTATGTTCTTAGAATTGTATCTACACACTACAGTGAACCTGTTAAAAACTAATCAAAAATAACAATTTTTTAAAAAAGCATTTATCCAAATGCAAAAAAAAAAGCCTCATTGCAAGGTCCCAAGTGCTTGTTCAGTGGGATAAGACTATCCCACCTGCCTTCTCTTCTGACTTAGGATACGGCTACAGCGATCCCATCTCCTTTGTCCCTGAAATGACTTGTGAGCTCTGAATATTCTTCACAGAAGCACAGATTCTTAACAGCCAGCATACTCAATTTTCCAAAGCGCATTCAGTGTTAAAGCTTCCTTTTATACGTTTGGCATGATAAAGGGCAGCATCATGTCCACAGTGTTGTGCATGCATTCTTGATGGGCAATGTTCTTTGGAATATAGTAAGGCTAGGATAACCTTATAAAGGCCAATACTTCATTCTAGTACGTATAAGTAGATTCTAGATCAAATAGTGAAACTTAGGGTTTCAGATGAATTTTTCATGTTTTTTTGTCTCTCTTCTTACAGCTCATTTCCCTGCAGGAGAAACTGAAATGTATTCTGAAGAAGTGAGAGGCATCGTCAGCCTGGCACACAAACCTTAGATTCACCATCCAGACTGAAAACTGGATAAAATAGTGCACAATTCTGTTTCTTCATCTGTTGCCTAATGTTGAATCAATTGTATTTGCTTCTCAGAACTTTTTTTTTTTTTTTGCTAGTTACAGTAGCTTTGAAGTTCATAGTCACATAGATGGGGAAAGTATAAAAAAGCAGTAGACTTAAAGTCCCCACTCAACCATGGGGACTTTGCTTCTCTTTGCCAATTTGAGAATTTCTACTATTGTTCCTGTACTGTGGTGCCATCAGATGATTCAGCTGTGCTTGCCAAGGGCAGACAATCTAGCCTAGATACTAGTCAGCTGGGCTGTATATGTTTCGGCTTTTCCAAACTCTTCTGTTTAAGCATTTCCTACAACATAGAAAGAATTGAGTCATTTCTACCAAGGGCTTGGGCCTGCTACAGTGAATTGAAGTGCCTACATTACAGCAGTTAATACTAGGTCATGCCTGTCTCTGTTCAGGTAATAGGGTTGCTTTCCTGCTCAGGGGTGCTTGCTTGCTGCTGCTGCTCTTTCTTCTGTTGCGTTTTCAGCCCTGTGGCTGCCTGTTATTCATTAACTAATGTAACAGAACAGAGACAAGAAACTCTGAACTGTTCCCCTTATTCTGAGCCTTCTCATCCTAACACCCATCAGAAAACATTAGGAGAAACCAGATGTCTGTAGTACCTATGAAACTTTCCTTAACAACTCTAACTGGCTGGTGAAGATTTTTTTTCCTGTTATATGATCAAGGTTTTCTTTAAGCAATAAATAAATTCTGTCTTCTTTAAGCAATAAAAAAATCTTTTTAAAATGGATTGTTGTCAACTGATTGCCCTCACAATGAGGACACTCATGTCCAAAAGGAAACCAGGAAACAAGTTACGAACTCTGTGTTTTGGTCCATTTGGGCTACTGTAATAATACTGCCATAGACTGCATACTTTATAAACTCCAGAAATATATTGCTCACAGTTCTGGGGGCTTGGAAGTCCAAGATCAAGGCACGAGAAGACTCAGTGTCAGGTGCGGGCTCTGTCTGCTTTCAAAGATAGGCGATCTTGCAGCATCCTCAACATAGCAGAGGAGGCAAATGAGTTCCCTCAGTCCTCTTACAGGGGCACTAATTCCACTCATGAGGGCTCTGTCCTCGGGACCTAATTACCTCCCCAAACGCCACCTTTTAATGCTACCTCATTGCACATTAGGTTCCAACATGAATTTGTGGGGAAGGGAGTTAACATTCAGACCATAGCACTCCGTGATTAGGCAATGACTGAAGATGCTGTCAGCTCTGCAAAGAGTTCTTAGGATAATTCGTAATGTATGGAAAGCATCCCATGTTAAACGTATAGCACTGGGATTTGGAGAGAAGGGGTAAAGAGAACTGATAAAAAAGGCAGCTCCAGGCCAGCGCCATGGCTCACTAGGCTAATCCTCCACCTGCGGCGCCAGCATACCGGGTTCTAGTCCCAGCCGGGGCGCCGGATTCTGTCCCGGTTGCCCCTCTTCCAGGCCAGCTCTCTGCTGTGGCCAGGGAGTGCAGTGGAGGATGGCCCAAGTGCTTGGGCCCTGCACCCCATGGGAGACCAGGAGAGGCACCTGGCTCCTGGTTTCGGATCAGCACGGTGCGCTGGCCGCAGTGCGCTGGCCGCAGTGGCCGGTGGGGGGTGAACCAACGGCAAAGGAAGACCTTTCTCTCTGTCTCTCTCTCTCACTGTCCACTCTGCCTGTCAAAAAAAAAAAAAAAAAGGCAGCTCCAGTGTTTACATGACTTTATCATGTCGAAGTGGAACAAATGCAAGGTTGGTATTCCAGCCCTGCCACTTGCATGGGCAAATCCCCACACATCTGCGAGCCTCCATTTTCTCATCTGTACAGCAAGGCCGTCATGCTCACCACCAAGCAGCATATAAAGATTTTTTGGAAGTAGCCCAGCTAGCCCCAAGTCTGGTCTGAATTGATGAAGTCAATGCAACTCTAGAAGGTGCACTCCCAAGACTTTTACTTCTAGTGCTCTTCTTCCAAGTGGAAGTTAATAAGCAGTGGGCAGAGAAGAGAAGGTCATTAGTTACGGGCCGAGCCTGCGGAGATGGACAGAAGACATCAGGGATGTTGGTGCGGGGGAGGGAATGCAGAAGATGTAGGACTAAGAGAGGACTGATGAGAGCTAACAAAATACAGCCAAAATGACAAGAGAAGATTGAGGACAACTTGGAAACGCCGATGATAGAAGAGCGATTGTTGTTTCAGAAACCCAGAACTTAAAAAACAAGAATAAGGACAAAGAATGAGGGACGGGAATTGAGTGTCAGAAGCAGATGGTAGGGAAAGAGGCAGAGTTTGAAAAGAAGATAGGCCCTTGCAGATGAAGGCAGAGGACTGGGACAGGAACACAAATACCCTGGGGACAGGCTGCCTAGACTGAAGGTGGCATCCAGAGGTGAGAGGTAGAGGAGCCCCTATGCAGGCTTTGTTCTGCAGCCTGAGAGCAGCCCGAGCTGTGCTGGGGGCCAGGGTGGTAGGGCACACAATGCCATAGGAAGGGGCAAGGGCAAGCTGGCATGTCTGCAGTGCTCTTCGAGAGTGGGGGGGGATTTTTCATTTACTGGTTCACTCCTCAAATAGCTGTACCAACCAAGGCTGGGACAGGCTGAAGTCAGAAGCCTGGCACTCCATCCAGGTCTCCCACATGGGAGGCAGAGGTCCAAGTACTTGGTTCATATTCTGCTGCTTTCCCAGGTGCATTGGCAGGAAGCTGGATTGGAAGTTGAACAGCTGGCATTTAACAGGTGCTGCAATAGGGGATGCTGGAGTCGTAGGTGGCAGCTTAACCCACTGTGCCACAACACCAGCCCATGCTGCAGCCTCTTGCTATAACCTGGGGGAATTGCTTCACAACTGCTCTTCACTCTCAAGGCCTTTGCCACCCCAACTCTCTACCCACTTCAATATTTCCTTCTCTCTCTCTCTCTCTCTCTCTCTCTCTCTCGCTCTCTCTCTCACATACATACACACACACACACAGAATACTTCATGACTTTTTTTTTTACTATAGCTGATTCTGACTTCTTTTTTGAAAATGTTTATTTTTTTTCATCTACTTGAAAAGCAGAACAACAGGATAGGGGAGAGAGAAATCTTTCATCTACTGGTTCACTCCCCCAATACCCTCAACAGCCAGAGCTGGGCCAGGCTGAAGCCAGGAGCCAGAACTCCATCCTGGTCTCCCATGTGAGTGGCAGGGGCCCATCCTCTGCTGCCTCCAAGGATGCACTGGCAGAAATCTGGATTGGAAGTGGAGTAGCCAGGTTTTGAACCAGCACCCCAATATGATTGCCACCATGCCCATCCCAGTGATTCTGACTTCTGCATGTTATAGACCTGCACTGTCCAGTATGGTATCCAGGAGTCACCTGTGGTTTGGGGGCACCTGACATAGCACTAACCCTAATCAAGATGTCCCAGAAGTGTAGAATAAGCATTGGATTGCTGTAGGGGGACTGTTCTGGGCCAGCATTCTGGTGACCTTGCACCGTCCACATAGGCCACATGGGCAAGGCAAGGCCCAGCTCCCAGTTGTTGGCAGAACTCCCTGTGATTCCCCCAGAATGTCGAAAGGCAGGCAGCTTTGTGAGAAGCTGCTACAAAACTGCCTCTCACCCACCTCCCTATCTTGAGGGAGGCTGCCATGAAACCATTTCTCATCCGCCTCCCTCATTCCAGTAAGGGGTAGAGCCTTCTGCCTGGCCCCCACCCCGGCCCCACAGGAATAGCAGCAACCTGTAAAACTGCCTAGCTACAGGGTGGACTGGGTACTCAGCACAAGAGGGCTCCCACTGTTCATGCTGCAGGCCATATGGCCCCTTTTCTTTTACTGTCATGCTGTGGGACAAAGGACATAGGGAGCTGATATTGTCAGCTAGCTTTTGCTGTCTCTATAAGTATGCACTGTCTCTACCTATCTGGGTTTCTCTTTTCTCTACCAGCTGAATCTACCAACCTGTTTGACCATTCTGGAGACCCAATAGGAAAAAAAAGAATATAAAATATCTCATTAATAATTGTTTTATACTGATTATAGACTGAAAGGATATTATGGGCATATTTGAGTTAATAAAATATATTATTAAAATTAATTTCATAGGAGAGGCACTGTCGTGCAGTGGGTGAAACTGCTGCTTGGGACGCCCGTATCCCATATTGGAGTGCCAGTTCAACTCCTGGCTACTCTGCTCCCAATCCAGCTCCCTGCTAATGATGATGGCCCAAGTACTTGGGTCCTGACACCTAGGTGGCTGACCTGGATCAGGTTCCTGGTTTTGGCTTTAGCCTGGCCCAGCCCTGGTTGTTGTAGGCACTTGGAGGGTGAACCAGAAGATGGAAGCTCACTCTCTCCTTCTCTCTACCTTGCAAGTAAATTAAAATACATAAATATTAAAAATTAATTCCTGTCATTTGTTTTTGCTTTATTCATATAGCTGCTAGGAAAATTTAAAATCACATATGTGGCTTGCATTAGGTTTCTTTTTTTTTAAAAAAAGATTTATTTGTTTATTTATCTCTCTAACTCTGAAAGGCAGTGTTAGAGAGAGAGGTCATCCATCTGCTGGTTCACTCCCCAAATGGCCACAATGACCGGCCAGTCCAAAGCCAGGCACTTCTTCTGGGTCTCACACATAGGTGCAGGGGCCCAAGGACTTGGTCCGTCTTCCATTGCTTTCCCAGGCCATTAGCAGGGAGCTGGATTGAAAGTGGAGGAGCCAGGATTGCAACCAGCGTCCATATGGGGTGCCGGCACTGCTCCGCAGCACCAGCCCCTTGCATAAGGTTTCTATTAAGCTGTGCTGCTGTAGCTTGGTGAGAAGAGAAAAAGTGGCTGTGGGGAAGAGGGATTAACAGGACTTTATATTGCCAGGAAATGGGAAAACAGCATGAAAAATTATCACCATCCGTTCAAAAGGACATTTTGATACTACTTATTATTTATTTATTTATAAAAATTTCATAATAAAGACTAGACCTCTAGATGAAATAAATGTAACTTTATGGAAACTCACTGCACCGATTTTTCTTATATTGGTTCAGGCTCATGAAAACTCCCCCAGATTGATGAGGATGGAATTTAGGGCCATTGCTCTTTAGAGCTCACCTCCTGACCATGACAACTAGCCAATGGAGGGGGGCGGGGACAGGGAGAGTGCAAGTCCAAGAACGCTCCAGCTTCCAGGGCCTGAGAGGCAGCCGATTCGGGGAGCTGTGGGAGTGGGAGCAATAGCAGTGTCTTCTTTGTCCTCTGGGTGTTGGACTTACGTCTTTCAGTGTGCCTGTGGCTTCTCAGTCTACTGTCTCTCTTCCCACCTCCACACAAGGGACAGATGTGGACTATGCAGAATATCAGACTCAGCACAACCGGAGGAAGAAAGTAAACAAATACAAATTTATTCTTTTCAAAGCAGAAGTCAAGGACAAGGGGGAAAGCACCACAGTGAGTGGCAAGAAAGTTAATCAATTTGTTCCCAGCCTGCTCCTTTATCCCCAACTTTTCTAGATTTGCAGGCCACCCTTGCCACCTCCCCCAGGCCCCTTCCTCAGTCCCCATCCTTGTGACCAGCTCTTGCGACCAGTAAACAGCACAGCACACTTCGCTCTGGCCTCAATACTGCCCTGGGGACAGCAAGGACATTCAGCAGGTACCCTCCCAAGTGCAACAGCTGTGGGAGGAGACCGGCACTGAGAACCAAGTCTTGGCCTTGAGCATTTTGCTTTCCCACAGCCATTGGTTTCAAAAGAGTGAGAAGTAGCTGAAGTATTACTTTGTTCCCAAGGCCTGATTTTTAGCAACAAGGCCCAGAGATAGGGCTGCCCAGCTGAGGGGCTAAGCTTCCGCAGCCCTAGGGCAAGGCCCCTAGTTTCTCTCCTGGGACTCTTGGTGGTGTTAAGGCAAAGACTTACTTTCTTGGTTATCTCTCACCTATGTCCGGGGAAATTTGAGGAGGTTCCTGGCCTGAAATGGTCCCAGAGGCTACGACTCTGCCAGGGAGAGTGCAAGGTCCAAGAATGCTCCAGCTTGCAGCTGAAGATGGAGCCCAGAACCCAAACACACACCCAGGCAGCTTGGGTGTTCCTTCGAATGAATCTGGAGGGAAAACATCTCCCAGGACTGGCTTCTGCCTGGCCCCCGAGTTTCCTGTTAATGTGGCCTGTCAGCCCAGTTCCCGGGAGCACCAGAAACCCAAACACCTTTGTCTGGGGGGAAATACTTTCCAGCGCTGGGCCTTGAATGAAATGAGCATGCGGGAGCCGTGATGGCAGCCTTTCCATTCTGGGAGAGAGCATCCGCAGGGAGCCATGCCACAGCCGATGTGCCCCAGCCAGGTAGCCTTCCTTAACAATTCTCAATCATCAGAAACCCACTCTGCCCCAGCTGTGGCAAAGCCTTACAATGGCTTCTTGGCCTCTATCAGATTCTGTCACGAATAAATCATCTATCAGTCCTAGCTGTCCCCCGAAACTATTCAAAAAAGACACTCACATTACTCATCACTGAGGCTTACCTCAAAAGTCAGAAAAGATTTCCCCTAAGCGAATGCACCAGCAACTCCCTTCACCTCCCTTCCAGCTCAGGGCCGCACACTACACAGCACCACACACAATGCCTTTAGGAGACAGGATGCACAGCAGATGCCTAACAACATGTAGCACATTTCGATAAATCCAATCCTAATTTGGATGCACAACGTCCAAGGATCCATTACCTCACTGTGGGCACATTGCTATATGCTACAGTGACTGTCACTGCATCTCTGTGCCGTATTCTCGCCTCAGGCATTAAGGGAAACACCAGGATCACAAGATATTAGTGATGCTCTTAGTGAGGATTCAACGTTTGACCTGCTGCTTCAGTCCACCTCCAGCACGAGTCCTACATGACAAGAACTTCATCTTTTCTCCCATGCCCAGACCACTGCAAGTTGCCACAGGCCCTAAGCAGCCCAAGAGCTCCCAGGTGGGGTGGTGGTTATGGGAAGGATTTTCCAGATAAAAGTTTCTTCTATAATATCGGCCCTCCTAAGGCTTGGGCAGGCCCATGCCTCAAAGTCTCTGAGCCCTCTGTCCACTGCAAATTTCTATCTCATTCCTGCTCACAATATAGGCCCCTACAAAGACACCCCCAGTCTGATGCACAGGTTCTGTGTTTGATGCCTGTCTACCACGAGCTCACCATGCCTCAATACCCAGTTCGCTACCCACCCCCCACAGACTTCAAGCACACTAAAGCAGATGTTATAACATGAAGTGTGACCCTCTGAGCCTGTGGCTTAGTGGAAAAGAAGGCAATCCTAGATTTTTGGACCCAAGCCACTGCCTTTTCTCCTATGTAGCCAATCAATCTAGGTTCCCAGCAGTTGGCCCAGTGCTTAATTGTAACACAACAGTCCAACTGCCTCCCTCCCTCCTGGTCTTAGTAGCAACTGCTGCTTTCTTGAAGGACCTGAGCCAGACCTTAGGAATTGGAAGGGGCTAGAGGATGTACTCTGTGTCTTAGCTTGGCAAAGCTTCTTTGCTCTTTCTTTTCTGTGTGGGGTGAGTTGAACTTAGATCTGCTCTATTTTGGCACCTGAATCATGGTTTAAGGAAGCCCAGGAAAACACACCCAAGGCCCAGGTCTCAAGGGAACAAGGCTTGGAATGAGAGTAGAGAACAGAGTGCTTCTTCCTGTTAGGGTCACCTGTGGCCACAGGTGTCTGTTGCTTTGGTCTTAAGGACAGCCCACCCCAAACATCAACAGACAGAGACATCTTGGAGAGCAGCCAGGATGCATCTATCTTGCCAACCAGAGACTGGGGCTAACAAAGAGCAAGACAGAACATTAATACTTCAAGAGGTATTAGAATTTAATGTGTGAGTGAGGCCAGGAGAGCACTGATGGACAGTAGATATGTAGATATGTATGTATATAAACTTAGGCAAATGAAGTTGACTGCTGTGCTCTGGTGGGCAAGCTCCTCATGATAGAGGCTGCCTAAGTGGGCTCTGACTCTGTTCAAAGTTCCCAAGCCCACTCCACCACCCCCCATTGTCAACTCTGCACAGGTTCTGGAGCTGAAGATGAAGGGGTCATGGTATATGTTACCTAGGAAGAGTTAGTTCAGTATGAAGATGGAGTTAACCTTCCAGAGTTAGAAAGATCAAGTTTATGTGCAGGAAGACCTTGCTGTTGTCTGGGTAGAAAGTGGCCAGCTTCCTGATTTGTGGCCAGCAGCTTCCTGCAAGGAGCTGCTACTTGGGCTGGCCAGGTGTACCTGTCTGATGATTAGCTGGGGCAATCAGCCACCTCACCTGATCGAGCCTAAGAGTCAGGAGGGTCACAGACTGGAAGGGTGTTGGGCTCTCCTGTCCTTTGAGGCTAGAGGGTGGCTTCCCCTTCCTCGTATCAGGAAAGCAAAACCCCTCCCTCCCTTGCCAAGCAAGCTGCTGTTCTTCTCCCAGTCTGTGAGGACAGACTCAGAGGAACAAAGGGTGGTTTTATCTGGGTGTCCAGAGCAACTCAGCAGATCTTTCATGATGCTGAGGACTTCAAGAAAGAGAAGGATCAGGGGAAAAGTATCTAAACCCATAAGTATTTCTTTAATATTTCCAGACGTAATATGAAAGTGGGAACTATAATCAATGGTTGTCCCCTTGAGTAACACCTACCAAGGACTGAGGCAGAAAAAACTGAAGATATTTGAGGAGGAAACAATATCTAGGTAGCATTAGGAGGGCTAGATCTATGCCCTGGAGTGGAAGTGACAGGACACATTGTCTAGACTTCTTCAGGGGCACTTTGGGAAGGATGTGTCTCAGGAATATCCTTTTGCCTCCTTGAGTTAGGCCAGAGAGTAGGACTAACCCCCATGGATTCATAATGTTGGAAGCTTGGGGTCATTAGACTTCTCCCTGTACATAATTCTATGGACATTGCTTTAACTATACAAGGCAGCTTCTCTGCTTCCCATGGGAGTGGCCAAGTGCCACCTGCCTGGGCTACAACAGAGGAGTACTTAAAGGACATGTCTCAAACTTGAGGATCAAGGGGCACATTTCTAGAGTGAGAGGAATCATGCCTCCCCGCTTCCCTGGGTCTCCCACACACACTTAACATACCACCAGATCTCTGCTGCTGTGCGGAGCCCAAATAACTCTGATTGAGGAATATGGGGCCAGTGGGAGCTGGAAAGGTTGGGTAAAGTCTGAGGGAAGGCATTGACTGGAACCAGAAGAGGACTGTGGATTACAGGATGAGGATCTGGCTCCATCAAGAGGCCAGCAGGGTGTTGGCAGTCATATCAGAGCTTCGCACACTGGGGAAGGCGTGGCGGAGTTTCTCCATGATGTCTTCCAAGCACAGGCTGACATCCTGGCTCTTTGACCCCACATCATCTGAGTTGGAAAAGAGAGATTTGGGAAGAAAACTAGTGACTCCTTTATGAGGTAAAGGGGCCATGGGAGAATGCAGCCAGCTGAAGGGCAGACCCATAGCACTGTGTCTTCCTAGCACGGTGCCTGGTATGTAGGAGGCACTCAATACACATTGGTAGAATAAATATATGGATGAATTCATCAATAAGTCAATTGTGCCTACCCACAAGGCCAAAACATGAGGACAAACCAGTCCCAGTCCTAGTCTTTGGGCAGGAAATCTTGGGTGAGAGAAGCCTGGAAGGAAGGGGCAGGGAACTTACCTGCAGCCTCAGTGTCTGGAGTTGTCTGTCCTTTGTCCTGGGGGTGACTGCCTTCTGACTGTTGTGGAGAGGAAGCTAGAGATGAGCCTGCAGAGCCATTGCCATCTGATTCAGTAGGTGGCTAGCAAGAGGTAAAGCATGATTTAAGTGGCTTTGCCTTCCTGACCTCACTTTGACAGACTCCTGAGCTTAGATAGAACCTTAGAGACCTCATGCTCATCCTTTTGCCCTTGGCTTTAAGAAGCTTTTGGTAGTCTCCCAAAGAGTGGCTCTCTCTTTTAGAAATCTTCTTAGAGTATCAGTTACCAATTACCTTCTGTTTGGCAAAGGCTCACAGTTCTTATAAGGATGGCAACATGCCTAAAAGGCTCTTGTCATTTGGGCTACAATTAAGCTATTTACAACCCAGTGCTCTCTGGAAACAGAGTTTCGCCCCTAATCCTCAGTTCATGATATAACAGCGTATGTTAGAATTCTCCAAGAATGAATTATGAGGCCATCTCAGGGAGGATCTGGGGAAGGAGCATGGGATTGCTGTTGCCTGTTACATATCATAACCACAATAGGTCACCTTTGCAAACTGTGTACTACAGTGCCTGGAATTGTGCTAAATTCTGTGAGCACGTCATTTCATTTTATATTCACCACAGTTTGGTGAAGTGGGATTATTATTATTCTTGCTTTACAGATGAAGAAAATGAGGTTTAGTGGAGTTAGGTAACTTTCCTAACACCACTCAGCCTCTAACTGGCAGAGCCACGTTCAAGGCCAGGGCTACCTGATTCCAGAGTTACATTACATCACACAGGCTACCTCTCAGAAACAAAAAGTAACAAGAGATCCCTTCCTCATAAAGGAACAATCTTTCTCTTGCCAAACACGTTTGTTTCTAGGCAACACTAGAGTGAGAAAATCAATGCCTTGGGCAGGTTTTGAAGTTTGTTCTTTTAATACAGGGTCCCAACAAGTTGTGAAGAAGTGAGCCTACAGAAGCCCTCCATCTGCCACCAGCACCACGGTGGCTGGACAGCGACACAGCAGGCCATGGAAGAGAATTGGCTAAGGATGGATCCCACCAGCACCATTTTTCCCGGCCCTCCCCAATGGCCACAGCAGCTGTCTTGCGGAAGTCACATGTCAGTCCCTGCCAAGGAACTCCTCCCTCCCTAGTGCCGCCCGCTCCCCAGCTCCGAGCCACATCTTGGGGTCCGCAGCCGCACCTGTAGGAGCAGCTCCCTCAAGCGCTGCAGCTGCGACTCCAGCTGCTTGTTGTGGTCTTCCAGGATCTGCATGCGTGTCTCCAAGCGGCTCTTGTGCTGCCGAAGGATCCTGGCCTCAGCCAGAAGCTCCTCATTGCGGTGGTCCTGTGCGGTGTCGGCGGAGGCCTCCGTCAGCATGGGGGCCTCAGCCGCCTCCTCGTGCTGCCACTTCAGGCGCCTCAGCTCTCCCTGGAGAATCCTGCCAAGGACAGGGAAGCCAAGACCTGTCCCAGATGTGGCCTCATAGCCGGGAGGGAGCACTCCTGGGCCCTCCGCTCCCAAGCCAGCCCAGCCCTAGCTGAGCTCTTCCTCTCCAGGACCTGTGTCATTTACTCTGCCATCCCAAGACCTCAGAGCAGGGAGAGCTGACATTTCACATAAGAAATGTCTCAGGGCTTGCATCTGTGGCCTCAGGGATTAATCTTGACCTTCAAATCACACAGAAACATCATCCGCAAATAAAGGAGGCATTAGGGCCACTGACTCACCTGCTCCACTTTCAGATTTTCAGATTCGGGGTGGGGGGATGTAACATAAACAAGAGATCACTTATCTTGCGTCTTCTCCCCACGACCCTCCTTCTTGGCCCACTTTGAGCATCCTTGCTGGGGCATCACGGGAACAGAATTCCAAAGACATGGCCTACTTGGAGGCGTATCACTGTTTTATTGTTTGGCAACAGAACAGAATTCTTGTCTGCCCAGCACTTGGCCAGAGCCTGCCTACTGCTGCTCTAATGCAGCACTTCTCAACTATTTGTGGTAAGAAACCATAGGGAGTGGGGCTCACTGACCTGTGGACCAATATGTGACCCTAATGTTCATGACTAGTCCCCAGCTCACACCACTTGCATCTATCCACACAAATTCAACAACACTTAAAATCGGTCTCTACCCTATTCAGCGTGACAATTTGAGTAATTACATGCTTGGATCTCATGGCAATAGCAAATTGCTAGAAACTAAAGTTTCTAAAGTTGATTAAACTTATCCATCTCTGCGCTTATTTTGTCCTCGACTGGAGACAGGCTGGCCCTGGTGTGCACTCCACACTCTGAGTGGCATTGTGTTAAAGACTTGCTACTCCAGGTGTGGCATATAAACTGGAAGCCTAGGCATTCCCCGAGAGCTGGTTGGAGATGCAGAAATTCAAGCATCCCCAGACCTGCGAATCACAATTTGTATTTAACCAGGCTCCCCAAATGACCCATATGCACACTAACGATGAAGCAGTGCTGCTGTGAAGGGTGCTATGGCGTGCTATGGTGTCTACTTTCTGTCCCCAGAGTGGCTTGGGGACACTGCCTCAGGCCCCTGCTGCCACCTCTCCTTCATGGAGACAAATGCCACCCCTGTAATCTTCTTCGCCTTGTCTCGTGCACTCCCCAGACACTCTGGGGAGTGTCCTCACCGTCTGGAACACTCTCCCGAGGTGATAAGTATGTCTTTCACTTCCAACACTGAAAGTTCTTGGAGGGCATGGATAGGCCGTGCTGTTTTCTGTGTTCTTTGTGCTTGCATCTGATTGGTACTCAGGAAATTTGAAGTTGAATTAAAAGGATTCAAATAATCATTACAATAACTAGCATGTATTGAACCCTTACTATAAGCCAGGGCTTATAGCCACAGGGCTAACACATTGTATGAGTGACGTCACTTGATCTCCACGAGTGACCCTTGGAGGTGAGCACGATGACCACATCCTCATTTTACAGATTGAGGAAAGGGAGGCTCACAGGATATAGGCAAGTCGTTGAAGGTCACGCAGTTAAAATGTGGAAGTGCCAGGACTTACACTCAAGCCACCTGTCTCTAGAACCCATACAGACTTTCACCACTATCACACCCACCGGTTCTCATCTTCTAAGTGGGCCAGGATCTTCTCTAGCTCCCCCTTGCTTTCTGTGGCCATGCTGCACGGAGCCTGTGGTCCAAAGGCTGGCTCCCGGTCTGTGATGGGGCTGGAGTGCCGCAGCAGGTACTGGTCCTCGTCTCTGCATGTACGGGGGGGAGGAAACGAAGTGGCCAGGTGTTGAACAGAGAAGCGGCTTAGGGCATGAGTTAGCTCCCAGCCCAGGACCTGGGAGATGCACACTGAAACATTTACTGCCGAGACACAGGCAGAGGGAAAGGCCACACAGTCAGGCTTGAGAGGGGTGACTGTGTTCAAAGAGGGCAGGGACTGTGGTTGGGGATGCTAGGAGAGAATGTTTTCAGGATGCTGGAGCTCCTGGGGAAACAAGGAGCAAATCATGTCCCCTTTCTGAGCTGTTCCCTCCCCCACCTCCCGCCACACACACACACACACACACACACACACACACACACACACTGTCCCCTCTTGCTTCCTTGCCCTCCAGGGTGATCTGATTCCCAGCCAGGGTCAGGTCGATCCCTGTAGCTGTGGCTCCCAGACCCTCTGAGGGCTCCAAGGACCTCCTCAGAGACACAGGGCCCCTTCTCTGGGCTGCAGCTCAGGAAGACTTTTTGGTCACACTTCGGTCAAGTCCCTGATGTGTCCCAGGGTCAGTGGAGCACTAGATAGGATTGTGGCGTGCAGAGAACAAGATATTCGTTCCTTTCTGCAATATTAGATGAGGCCATTTTCTTCTTCCCTCAAAGCTAGGTACAGCAGGCTAGGATCTTGCAAGAGGACGGGACCTGGGCAGGTGGCAGGGAGACAGCACATCGTTCATTCCCCAGCACAGTTGATAGAGGGAAGATGGCTTCTCTTATGAAACACTGTGTGCAGGAAGCAGCTTTCCATCCTTAGGGAGTCAACCACTTTTTTTTTTTTTGACAGGCAGAGTGGACAGTGAGAGAGAGAGAGACAGAGAGAAAGGTCTTCCTTCCGTTGGTTCACCCCCCCCCCCCCGGCTGCCCCGGCGGCGCACTGTGGCCGGCGTACCACGCTGATCCAAAGCCAGGAGCCAGGTGCTTCTCCTGGTCTCCCATGGGGTGCAGGGCCCAAGCACCTGGGCCATCCTCCACTGCACTCCCGGGCCACAGCAGAGAGCTGGCCTGGAAGAGGAGCAGCCGGGACAGAATCTGGCGCCCCGACCAGGACTAGAATGGGGTGGGGGGGGGGTGCTGGCACCGCAGGCGGAGGATTAGCCTAGTGAGCCTGGTGCCGGCCATGAAGTCAATGACCTTAACCACCGCACTCACTGCCCATGGCCTTGAGGCTACACCTTCCCCAGGGATGGCGGAGGAACCCAAGCAGAGTTCTTTCTGAAGAATGAGCAGCTGGGGAAACTCACATGCTGTCATCTGGGGACAGGCTGTCATTAAAGAAGGAGCAATTCTGACTTTCCATCTCGGCCAGCCTGGGAAGAAAGAGCAGAAACAAGAGGGGAAGCAGGACGTGGGGCCTGCGCACTAATCTCACAATAGCAGGCTCAGCGGCTTTGGGCGCTGCCCCGACCACCGGAAGTGTGGGGCCTGGCTGTCAGCTACTCACCCCCCTACATACACCCCCTAGCTCTGACTCCATCCACCTTGCCCGGCTGAAAACCTCTTCCCCTTGCACCTCCTACAACCCCTCCGCAGCAAACCCGCTGGTACCTGCTGGCAAAATGCTCGATGCGAGAGTGCGTGTCAGCATGCGGCAACATGGGGGAAGAAGCCGGCCTAGAAGAAAGCAGCCGAGGCTCAGAGGACTAAAGACGGGGCAGCTGGGCGGCCTGTTTCCTCACCCCGCTCCCCGCATTATGGAGATGGATGAGAGCTGAGGAAAATCGAAGACAGGACTGGATTCGAATCTACTTCGCAAGCCAGAGTCCCGGTCAGGCCCAGGCTGAGCTGCCCCGCCACCAGTGGGATTTCCCTGGGAACGCTCCCCTAGCCCATGGGGGTGGGGTGGGGACTGAGCCTTTCAGAGCGCACACCCCAGGCTCCTGGAGGCTGCCCGCAGGCCCTGCTCAGCCACTGGTACTCACGTCTCACTGTAGTCAGCCTCCAGCACTGATTGCACAGGCAGATAACCTCGCTGAGGGTGTTTGCTGAAATAATGCTTTGAGCGGAATTTGTTCTTTAAGGTTGTGGCAAAGTCCCTCATGTTCTCACTGGATGTGGTCTGGGGGGAGACAGGGCAGAGGGACTCATCCTAACGGCTTCCAGATATGCTGGGAAGCTGTGTTCATCCACTCTCATTCATGCCTACTACACCCTGCATCTAGAAAAAGGGCTACAAGGCTACAAGGCTACACGGCAAACTGGGAACACGGGTTGCCTCTGGGAAGTTGGACTGGAAGGGTAAGGGGTCACTTGAACCTTTTACAACGTGCATATGTTTGTTAATTTTAAAAATATCTTTTCTACAAGCCTAGGGGTGGGGAGGATGAGCCAGAGGCAGAGGATTATCAGCCCACTCTCTCCAGCCAGTTTTCTGGGTTTGATTTTGCTATAAAATGATAATAAATGAAGAGGAAAAGAGGATGTCCCTGCTCCCACTGGGTCACAGGCATTTCTGGGATAACAGCATTTGGAGAAGAGATGACAGAAAGATAGGCTGTGGGGAAACGGGCTGAAAGATGGGGAGGGAGAGTAAGGTAGAGACATGCTTGGGGCTCTGGGAGAATCTGTGGGGACATAAAGGGGATCATGACAGCGAGGGAGCACAGTCAGCAGGGGACGCTAAGTGTGCAGCTGTAGGTCTTGAACCCAGCACAGGAGCGATTCTGTGGCTGGAGTTCAAGGATGCTCACTTGGGTGGCTGGGAAGGGCACAGTTTCCAGGGAAAACCAAGTGGAATTTGGGGAACCCGGTGAAGCGCGTTTTTTTTTTTTTTCCTCAAGGACTGAATCCCTCCTTTGAGTACAAACTTCACTACGGACTAGAGAGGGTAGAAACTCTGGCAAAGTAGCAGGCAATGACTGGGTAACCCATGGGCATTACAGAAAGCGAGCCAGGAAGATCCCAAGGGAGCCCTCGAAGGTGAGTCACCCAGACGTGCCTCACTGTCTCTGTCTTTTTCCCAAAACTTTTCCATGCAGTAAAACAGCGAGTGCCTTACAAATGGCTGAGAGGTCTTGGGACAGCCACTGGAGCTGCGTCCCCCCCGCCCCTGGCCAGCCCGGAGGCCCCGTACCGGTGTGTAGTACTCCATGATGGGATAGTGGAGCTTATGGCCTTTGCTGGCCCTGCCTGTCAAAAAGCAGGTCTGGCAGATGTCCACGTTAAATTGTTTCAGACTCCGGTACCTTGGGGAGAAGACAGGCAGTAGGAAACAGAATCCAATGGGCCACAGTGACCCCCCCCCAACACCAGTTCCATTAACATCCAAATCTATGCCAACCTTAGGAGGGGTTGATACATGGAGCCATAACATGTTCAGCCTCTTATGTACAGCACTTGCTGAGTCCTCCCACATACAAATAGCCTTACTCTAGAGACCATAAGTCTCCTGGCTGTCACAAGCTCAGAATCTCAGGAAGTCTCACTACTTTTTTTAAAAAAAAAGTGTGGTGTGGGGTAGCAGGGGTAAATATCTCATTGTATCAAGCAACTTTCTAAAAATGGATATCCTCACAAGACCTAGTCTCCAAGGGACCAACACATAAGTTAAAGTTACATTTGTTCTACCAAAGCAACTTCTTCTACTAGCTTTGGGTAAGTTGGCTAAAAGTCACTTTCAAAGGTTATTTATGGTAAGTCTATTATTGCAGAACACAGAATAGCTTTTCAGATCCATTTCCAAAGTCTAGCTGAACTGTCCAGATGCAGAAGAGTGAGATGCCTCAACTTACAGGAGTCACATGATCCAATATCTAGTCGTGGATCTACCTTGACCTTGGGCAAGTCACACTCCACCTCTGTGCCTTGTTTGCTCATCTTATAGAAAGCAGGGTGAGGTGGGAGAATAGAGCAGGGCAGAAGAGATAGAGGGAAACTGAATAATGGGTACCAAAACAGAGTTAGATAGAATTAATAAGTTCTAGGGTTCCACAGCACACTGGAACAACTACAGTTCACAATAATGGATTGTGTACTGTATGAAGAACTGGAAGACAGAAGCTGGTAGCTCCAAACATAAACAAAAAGGAAATGCTAGCTATCTGATTGGATCAGTCTAGCCTGTATACATGTATTGATATAATGCTCTGTGCCCCACAAAAAATGTGCAAGTTTCATAAATTAATTAAAATTTTTTTTTTAAAAAAAAGCAGGATTGTGGGGCCAGCGTTGTGGTGTAGCGGGTAAAGCTGTCACCTGCAGAGCCGGCATCCCATATGGGCACCGGTTCAAGACTCGGCTGCTCCACTTCCCATCCAGCTCTCTGCTATGGCCTGGGAAAGCAACAGAAGATGCTCCAAGCCCTTGGGCTCCTGCACCCACATGGGAGACCCACAGGAAGCTCCTGGTTCCTGGCTTCAGATTGGCACAGCTCCAGCCGTTGCGGCCAATTGGGAGTGAACCAGCAGATGGAAGACCTTTCTCTCTCTCTCTCTCTCTCTCTCTCTCTGCCTCTCCTTCTCTGTGTGTAACTCTGACTTTCAAGTAAAATAAATAAATCTTTAAAAACATAAAAGTAGGGTGATTGTAAGGAGAGTAGTGTGTTAGTGCTTTAAAAAGTTAAAATGTGGAGTGTTTTGTGATGAAAGCCAAATTCAGGATAGTGGTTACCTTGTGGAGGAAGAAGGGAAACCAAAGATACATTAAATGTATTGGAAGAATGCTTTCTGCCTTAAGCTTGGTTGTGAGTATACAATGTGTTGTGCTGGAGACAGCTTAATAGTAGCCCACAAGAATAAGCTGTTAAAATTTCAGGGTTTTTTTTTAAGTTGTTAAATACAGCCAGTATTAAAAAATTATATAAACTCACAAGTAAATAATATTAAAAACTAAAGTAATAAACAATCAAAACTTGCCATTTCCTAATTACTATTGGCTATGCTTTTGAGGGTGTTTACATCCATTGCACCGTTAGGGTAGGGTATCCCTTACCCAAAATGTTCACATTTGGGAATTTTTCAGATTTTGACATATTGGCATAGACTCTGCCAGTTGGGCATTCCTGTGGATTTTGGATTTTTGGATCCAGGCTGCTCAACCTGTATCTGCATGGTGGAAATCCTATAAATAGTATGTGACTGCACAATATCTTCCCAACTCTGCTCAGAGAACTCCTGTAGGTGACATCAGCCACCATGGTAGCATTTACATCATGGAAATCAGCAAATGCGACCAATAAGGTTTTCTTTTTTCTTTCTGGAGAGTCCACTGTGAACCATTTGCTGACTCACCACTTTGTTACACAGGTATTCTTAGAGTATTCGCAGCATGTTTTTGTGAATCTGCAAACTTCATAAAGCAACTAACACAAATGCAGCATTTTATCATTTCTAATATTTTCCAAAGTTAAACATTCTGCAACAGAATTATAACAAGATAAAATAATGCCTAATAGATTAGCTATCATGATGTAACAATGATGCAATGCACTGTTTGGCAATAGCTGATTCCTATGTCGCATGACTATTTCCGATTGTTGTCATCCCAGCAAGTATTGTTTTCCTTACCTGAACCCCTTGATGGGGCACTGCCTGCAGATAGAGCACTTGGTCTGATGCTTCACTTGCTCAGCAATGGTGACCCGATGCAGAACAGCCAGCCACACCATGGACTGCGGCTCCAAGTTGACCCACTCCAGGAACTGGGACGCTTCAATGACTGGCTTTCCAGTGCTCTACAGAAACAGGAAGACCAGTGGGAATGACTGAGGCCCAGTGTTTCTTGTCCCTAGAATGACCACCCTCAGAGAAGCAGAGGGACCAGCAGGACCTGTGGTGGCCTGTTCTCCAGAGGTGTCCAAGTTCTGCTCTGTTGTAGTGGCACTGGCACCCTCCCCAAGAGGACTCTGATCCTAGAGCCCAGAGAACCCTGTATCCTGCTGCCCCACCCCAACAGACACCCTTGTATCTGAGTACTCTAGATCAAAAGCATAGCCCATCGCCCCCCTCCCTCCCTGCGGTTCCATACTCACAAAACGGAAGCAACTACGGACGCTGGGCTCCACATTGCTGCCTCCAAAGGCCGCCACTTCACCCAGCTGACGGGGCACCTGAATGGCCTCATGAAGCAGGACACCGAGGTGGCGCTGGTCACACTGGCTGCCTGAGTTGGCCACTTGGCTGAAGAGGTCTGCCAGCCGCACCATGAAGAATGGCCAACCCCCATGCAGGAATGGCCAGAATGGTGTGAGGAGAAAGAACAGAAAGGGGGAGACAGGGAAAGAGCACACAGACTGATGTGATGACTTTTGAAACTGAAATACATGGACGTTCATCCCTGAACTTCCAGAAGCCCAGTACTCAAAAGAGCATTGTCTGAGTTCAGAGAGAAGAAGACAGAAACAGGGCATCAGGGAGAGAGGAGAGAGAGAGAGAGAGAGAGAGAGAGAGAGAGAGAGAGAGAGAGATGTGTAAAAGCAGTGCCAGACACAGAAGTGACACTGCTGGGAAGACAAATTCCTCAAGAAGCAAGATGAGGAGCATGGACTCAGGGCACCTGAGCATGACCCCGAGTTGGGCTGCCATACCCTTCTGTGTTTGTGTAGCTCATGTAGTCTGATACTGCAGTAGTCTCTCAATCATCCACACAAATGGAAAGAAACACTGGCATGGATAAGCCAAAAAGAGGAGCTAGTTCAAAACATTTAATCATCTAAAACTTATCTCCAAGTGGTTGGGAAACAGACTATGGTACTTATATTTCAATAGAGGGTGTATTGACCCTTTTAGGATCTCCTCTATCCCTATCCAACCTTAGTACACCTCTTCCAGAGGTCACTGTCTGGCCAGGCCAGACTTCACCTAATGCTTAGACAACACACAGATGTAGAAGACAGACAGCTTGGGTTTGGGTCATGGACCCATTATTGACTACCCAGAGAACCTTGAGCAAGTCATGAAGCTCTGTGCTGCAGGCTCCTTACTTGCAACTGAGGCTCAGCAGTTATGGTCACCCCATCTCAGAGGAACGTTGCGTGAGATTAACAGTATCATGGCAGTCAACATGCTTGGGAAAGGTCCTTCCCTTGGAAAGTTTTCCCAGCCCACTGGGATTTCTGTTCAGATGCAGCACACATTCTTTGCCATTCGGGTTCTTCTCATTAGTTTTTTTTTTTTTTTTTTTTTTTTTTGACAGGCAGAGTTAGACAGTGAGAGGGAGACAGAGAGAAAGGTCTTCCTTTTCCGTTGGTTCACCCCCAAATGGCCGCCACGGCCAATGCTGCACCAATCCGAAGACAGGAGCCAGGTGCTTCTTCCTGGTCTCCCATGCGGGCGCAGGGCCCAAGCACTTGGGCCATCCTCCGCTGCCTTCCTGGGCCACAGCAGAGAGCTGGACTGCAAGAGGAGCAACCGGGACAGAACCGGCACCCCAACCGGGACTAGAACCCGGAGTACCGGCGCCGCAGGCAGAGGATTAGCCTAGTGAACTGCAGCACCGGCCCTCATTAGTATTTCTTAAAAAGTACTTTCTCTCTACTTCTGTCTCCTGCTCTGGTCCATCAATCATCTGAAGTAGGGACCATGTCTAGTTTAAACTACTGGCGTTCACCCCACGTAGCAGAGTAGTCAGCACAGATTAGGATGCAACCACACACACACTGCTATCCCCAACAAAAAAAAAAATTTAACATGTGGAAAATAAGATGCAGATAGAGGGGAAAGTGAAGATCCTATCATCCAGCGAGGTTCAAAACCAGAGTTCAAAATCCCTTCGTAGATGAAGAGAATTGTTGCACTCCAGGTGTAGTGACAAGAGAAGTCTCCAGGAGAATGCGACACGGCTTGAGCTTCAGACTAGGGAAAGACTAAGTCTGATAGGGCACAAGGGAATAGAACTAGAAAGTCTGGACCCTGGATACCCTAAGATGCCAGTGCAGATCCCAGCGAAGTACCAAAAGAAACCAAACCCTCAGAGAGACACTGGGAAAATTATCAGGCCTTTGGCCCCTCCTTGGCCTTTAGCTACTGTGTGTCCTTTGCAATATACTGGACGACGAAGCATCTCAAGGTAGCCTGAGTAGCCCTCTGCTGTGTCAGAAGACCTACCTTCTGCTCATGTTACATCCCTCCTCCTCCTTGCAACACCTCTCCCTCCACCCAACACCACTCCAGACTTCGGAGTTGTACTCACACTGAAGTTTTTCCTTCACTTCCGTGCCACACAGGCATGCGATGCCGGTCTTAAAGGACAATGCCCGCATCTTTCCACTCCGACCACTAGGTTTAAGAGAAGAGTCTGAGAGCATGAGCATACGCAAAGGGTTAACATCTTGGCAGTCATCTTCCTCGCTAAGTTGACCCCAGCAAGGCTCTGTGCCTACTGTGCCTTAAGCTTAGTTGGGTTCAAGTCCACCATGGGAACAGCCCCTTCCCACTCTGCCCACTTGAGATGTCCCCATTGAATTTCATCCTGGAGGCTGTCAGAGCTAAAGGCCTTTACCTATCAAAAACATTGAGGAGCCAGTTGAGGCTCATGTCCACACAGAGTGGCACATTGACCAGAATGCCTCTTTCCTCTTCCAAGCGTTCATATAAGGCAGTCAGGCAGTGAATGACCTCCACCACGTCCATGACATGCTCACTGGCCTGCAGATCATGCTCATTGAAGATCTCCAGGGCTGTGGTTAAAGTTACTAGGTCCACTGCAAAGGAAAGGAAAAAGGGGAAAATATAGCCCAAAGTAGAAGCCCAGGGATTAGACAAGGAGATAAGGCCACCAGCATTAATCTCCAGACAAATTGTTTGCAAGTATGATACAAGCTTGTTCACCCCAAGCAGGGAAAAGGCAGCAAAGGATCCCCTAAATTAATCCGATATGTTTTCTATGCCCATATATTCTTTGACATCTGTTTTAAGGAGATGGGGGGAGGGGGGTGTGAGTAAACTCACCTCCTATGTTGTATTAATTCCCAAGAGATCAGATCCCATTTTAAGTTTCTCTGTCTTTACACAAGTTTCAGCTACAAATAGACTAGTACATGAACCTTCTTTTGAGAACTGTGATGCCAGCTGTGAAGGCACAGGTATGGCTGGGCAGGTGTGGCATTTTAATTACCCCCAGTGCTCCATCAGCCTGGGCCAGGAAGCTTGAATGCACAGTATCTCTGAGAAAGGCCAGAGGGCACATGATATCTGCAGCCACTGGCATTGGCCTCAATTGTTCTGGGGTTGCATCCAATAACCTCAAGATAGCAACCCATGGGCTGGGATACTTTTTGCCACAAAGCAGTTGCTTAATTAACCATGTTGGGCAGGGGAAAAGGGACAAGGAGAAGGAGAGCTGTGAAGTTCCCTTGGAACCAAGTCTGGAGCTTGGAGAGAGTAGAAAGGCCCTGGAAAGAGCAAATGTGGTGCACAGCTGGCATAGCCCAGCCTTTGGAGAGTCCTCACCAAGCCAATGAATAACCCTGGCCACGTGGGATGAAAGTGGGAAAGAGCAGACAGATGAGAAACAGGAGGAGGGGGTGAAGGCCATAGGCAAGTGCAACGGGAGACATACAGCGCAGGGCCTTCTGGACTCTGCGGAGCTTCATGGCAGTGCGATAAGCTGAGAACTTAATGTTGTTCAGATCAGCTGCAAAGAATGGAAAGAGACCCACTCAGATCAGGGAAATGCAAGTTAAAACCACAATGAGATATTATTTTACACCCACCAGGTTGGCAAAAAATAGAAGTCTGACAATAGCAAGTGTCAGCAAGGATGTGGATGAATGAGAATTGCTGGTGGAAGTGGGAACTGATAAAATCACCTTGGAAAACAACTTAATATTGCCTAGAAAAAGGGGATAATCATGGAGTCTACCACTCAGCCAGCTTACATATCCCAGAACAGTAATTTACAAGCATTCTTTGACCAAAATTCATGGTAAGAAATTCATTTTATAATTCAGTATACATACACACATGTATGCATGTATAAACAACTGAATCAAACATTTCTGGAAGCAATTCTTTAGTTCATTGGACAAAGGAAAAGTAGGAAATTAATATCAAATATAACTCTTACTAAGGATCTGCTGCATGCTAATATTTCCTAGTCTGTTTCAGTTTTTCAAACTGCTTGTCACATGCACTGACACAATGTTAGGACTTGCAGACTGAAAAACATGCCCTGGAGAAACCCTTGTATGGATGTACTAGAAGACATGTACAAAAACTCTTCCATTTTAATAAACTAATAAACACTGTTATTAGCTCCAAACTAGAAACTCAATAATAAAATGGATAAAGAAACTGTATGGTACACAATGGATCACTCTACAGCAATGGAACTGTATGAATTATAGTCACATGCATGCACATGGGTAAAATTTGCAACATAATGGTGAGTGTTCCTTAATAGGCAAAGATAAGGTACACAACAGTCACTCTCCTCACAGCCTGCACAGTGTGTTTCAAAGCAGATCAGGTTTCACATCTACAGGCATAATTCCTGAATGGGATGATAGGATGGTCTAGGGGGAAAGGTAGAGCCTCCCACTGAGGAAGGTATAGAGGGAAAGGTAGGAAGGCTGTGGGAGAAAGGACAAGGCACTCACTGACATATTGGTTGGGATTCCTCTCTATTCTTTTTTCTTTGTAACCACTTTATTGAGGTATTATTGGAATACCAAAAAGAAATTCTGTACATATGAATTATTTAATATATAAAACTTGATGAGTCTGGAGATAAATATACATACATTGAAACCATCACCACCATCTATGCCATAATTGCATCCAGCACCTCCAAAAGTTTCCTCCTGGCCTCTTTATTACTGGTTTTATAGGAACACTAAACATAAGGTCTACTATCTTAGCAAATTTTTAAGGATACAACCCAGTATTGCTACTCATCTGCATAATGAAACCTGTGTCCTTTGACTAATATCTTCCTGTTCTCTCCTCCCTCTAGCCCCTGACAACCACCATTCTCTCCTCAGCTTCCACGAGTTTGACTATTTGATATTCCCCATAAGTGATATCATGTAGTGTCTCTCCTTCTATGTCTGGATTATTTCACTTAGCATCATGGCCTCCAGGTTCATTTGTGTTGCTGCCAATGGCAGAATCTCCTTTTTCAAAGTTGAATAGTATCCCATTGTATACAAACACCATGTTTTCTTTATGCATTCATCTATCAATGGACATTCTAGGACAAAGGCAGCTGTATAGGCATCCACCCATACAGGAACCCCACATTCTTACCTAGGGTTTGGTATAACTCTGTCATCTTGGGATGGTCCCAGCATGTGGTCTGAGCCTGGTGGCTACAAACAAAACCATCAATAGCACCAGGGTTCACTCCCCTACCCACCCCCACACACATGTGTGTGCACCACTCAGTGACAGGTTGGATACAAGAAGAAACAGGATCCAAGGGTTAACCCTGAAGATTCCAAAGCACAAAGGTTCATCTTTACCCAGGTACAATCTTGTGCCCTTGAGATGAAGAAGAAAAATTGGACTCGATGGAGGAATCCCAACAGACAAGGAGTGACAGAGACAGGCAGTCAAAAGACAGGCGAGGGAGAGGGTGGGCAGGTGACTGACCCGCATCTGATTCAGATGGTAACTCACTTGATATAGTAGGGAACTTTATTGGGTGAAATTGCTCTTTCCCAGGGAACCTGGACAGAGGCTGGTAAAGAAGAAAGAGAAAGAGAGCTGGCTATTAATGCTCTTCAGGCCCTGCTGCATCTTCCCAAACAGGGGTTCAATCCCAAAAGGGGATGCCTGACTCTTAACAGATCCTGAGGGTGGACCCCAAAACACTTTTAATGAACACACTTCTCTACCTGACATTAGGGCCAGGGATGGGGAAGACGTTGTCACTGATGCCCTAAGATATCAGATATGTGGCAAGGGCATTGAAGAGGATTACCTGACCTTGGCCACCCTGCCAATTTTCTCCCCAAGCAGGCTGCCATTCAACGGCAGGCAGCTGCATTGCTCCTGCGGATATGAAGTGGACACTACTTTCTTCTTGGGACTCTAAGCCCTCGCACCTTCTGTGGTCAAGTTCTTCAGTCCTGTGGGCCAGCAGGGAATGGCACTACCCATTTCCCTCTCTCATGAGGAACTTGGGAAATTCATGCCTGTCTCTTCCCAGTGTCTATTTTCCACATCTTCCAAGAGAGGCTCAGGTTACCTGGCCAACTTTCTCATTGCAAGGTCTAGCTGCATGTCAGTGATTGTGACAGCAAGAGTTTCTTCAGGTCTGTCTGCATGTTAGTGATTATTATAGCAGTAAGTCTAACTGTGGTTAACATTCATTAAGCTCCTACCATGTGCCAGATACCATACTCAAAGCTTTGTGTACCTATCTAGTTTTCTACCTGTATATTCTCACCATCTCCACTGTTACCTCTGGTCTGGGCCACCATAATCCCTTCCCTGGATTACTGCAATGTGCCTCCTAACAGGTCTCCCTGCTCCAGCTCTTGGCCCCAACATCATGGTCAACACTGTTGAAACATAAGTCAGATTGTGTCACTCTTTGACTCAACCCAGCCAAAGATCCTCTATTCCATCCATAATAAAATCTGAAATTCTTCCCTTTGCCTGCCAGATCCTCTATGTTTGGGCCTTCCCTTACTTCTACGCTCTTTGCTCTCTTTCACACAGGTCTGTTAGCTGTTCCTCCAGCATGCCCTTGCCTAAAGAGTCCAGACATTGCTATTCCCTCTGCCTAGTATGCACTTCCTTCAACTTTCCACATAGTTCATTCTTTCACTTCCTTTAGGTTCAGTTGCCACCCTCTTGGTGAGGGTTTGCTCGCCCCACTATTCCAAAATTGCAATGCCCCTCTGCTTAGGTACTACACTTCCTATCCACTCCTTCCCTGCTTTAATTCTTCCCACAGCACTCATCACCATTTGACCTTATACTTCTTTTTTTTTACTTATTTGCTTATGGTCTGGCTTCCCTGCCGAAGGTAACATTTCCAAGTTTAAGGATTTCTGTCTTGCTCACTGATGCAACCCCAACACCTACCTGGTCCATAGTAGGCCCTCAATAAAATATTGTTGACCAAATAAAGTCATTTAATCCCCATAACCTGATGAACTAGGTAACATTTTCCCTGTTTTACAGATGAGAAAACTGAGGTTCAGAAAGGCTAAGCTATTTTGTCAAGCTTGCACAGCTATCAAAGTGAGGCACTGTGACTCAGACCCAGGTCTCTGATTCAAGAACCTATTCTTTTAACCACTATACTCCTTCATTCTCACTGCTTCTTGGATTTCAAGGCATACTGGGCTCCCACCAGGACTCCAGGGGGAGGCAGTACGCTGCCTTGGAAGGTTGCCGAGGTTCTGCTAGGACAAGTCCAGTTTGGCTCACATACAGGAGAGGAAGTGCTGTGACCCCGGCCCAAAGTCCCGGTGGGCATCCTGGAGTTGCTTAAGCCTCTCACCAACTGACACCTGTGGAAAGAATATAGGAAACCAGCGGATTAATCACAACTATTAAGTGTGGGATTCACAGACACCTCCAAGAATCTCTATGAGCTCTCTTTAGACTAGCTTTTGTCCAGTTGCAGCCCCTGTCATCATCACCTAACTCCTAGCCCTCCCCCTGCACTTCCAAGGGTCAGAGAAGACCATCCCTAATTCCAGGCCACAAACACTCTTTCCCTGCCTCTGTTTATCCTGAGTGCCCAAATCTAGACAGACCTTTCTCATTTCTTCATTTGAATCACTTCTTATAGCTTAAAGGATCCTGTTCCCTGGCTCCATGTGCTCTGTTCTCTTTCCCCATTTAAGTCTCATTTCAACACCCCTCCATTTCCTCTGGGCCTGACAAGCTCCCCTCAGGCCTGGTAAGATGGAGGTGCCTTCTCACAGCTCACTGCAGACTGCTCTTCTACCTGTAGCTGTTTCCATCGGCTGTTGATCTGTTCCAGGGCCCGGGAATTTTCCATTGACAGGTGCACATCTGAAATGGCGAGCTGGTGGGCCAGATCATTCACTAGCTTCACTCCGTCTTTCATGGGGGAGAATTCTTCTTTGAAGAGCTAGAAAGCCAAGACCCAAGTGCCACAGCAGACAGAGAGTGGGGAAGAGCAACTATTAGTTACCTCGCTTCACCCAGAGGTTTGTTTCAACAACACAACCTAGGTGCTTGGCTGTTAGGGCAACTAGATTAAGGTTTGGGTGGCCACTATGCTTACCCTCTCAGGAAACCCCAGGGAAAGAGAAGATGGTAGAAGAACAGAGGAGACTCCAGCCAAACCAGCCCCAAATCAGCACATAAACTGACAGCAGCTCCACTGTAGTTCAGGCTAACAATGGAGTCTCAGCAGATCAGTGCATTGGACTGGACTATAGCCTGGGAAGAGGGGCTTGTGTACCTTAATAGCTTGGATGTGCTCTGGGAGTGAATCAATGAAGAGATCGCCAATGGGCTCCCAAGTGGCTCGGACTCCCTCAGCTTGGGTCAGAGTGGTGCTTAATTCCTCCATTGCCCCTTGGATCTCCAACAGCTGCTCCAGAGTGCGTTCAATGTGGCGGTGTTGGTCCACACAGCGGGCTGTCAGCTTCTCCCATAGCTCACTGGCCACTGTCGCCTGCTTCCACACAAAGCGGCTAAGATTCTGGATCCGCTGTCTAGGGGAGGTATCTTCAAGTGCAGGCAGAAATCCACATCAAGCCAACCAGGCAGGGACAGTCCAAGGAAAGACAGAGACAAAGATAACCCTTTGTAAAAAATGTGCGTGTGTGTGTGTGTGTGTGTAGTCATATACAAGTACATATTTTTTTCATGGTTGAGCTCCTTTTGCACATTTAGGGTTTTTTTAGTTAAACTCTTTTGAGATCATGTAGATCACATGCAATCACAAGAAAACATGCAGAGATCATATGATGTGCCCCTCATCCACTTTCCCTAGATGCAAAACGATAGTACAATATCACAACCAGGATTCTTCTGTCAGTGACAAAATCCACCAATTGTGTTCAGCGTTCCTTAGTTTTATTTGTGTGTATTCAGTGTGTGTGTGTGTGTGTGTGTGTGTACATGCATGTATTTAGTCCTGTGCCATTTTATCACATGTTGGCTCATGTATCTGGCACCAGTCAAAAGACCATTTTCTTTCCATTTACTATATCACAAGGATTTCCTCATTAAAAAAAATACAGGCAAGGTAAGTAGTGAGTAAAATACACTAAGAGCTATAATGAGATGAATCATCCAGAGTCCTATTCCCATGACCCTGGAACGTGATTTTGCATCAGTATCTGCTGCTGCTCACTTCTATCCAAAGAAAGGAGGCATTTTATGAAGACCCAACCCAAGAGATGTAGGTTTCACGTGACCAGCTTTTCCATCAAGGTTTCCAATTTGTAAGTCTCCTCTTCTTTCCTCAAACCTCTCTCAAAAGAAGATTCCAAGCCCCCAAGCTCAGCATACTGGAATAATCCTGCTGTTTCTTGAGCTTGTCCTACCTAAGCCCCATTGGGCAGCCAATTTAGTACTAGTCGTCCTACTGAGAGACAGAAATAAACTGAAAGGGTAAGTGGAGTGGGTCGATGGTTCAGTTAATGAAAGATACTTCCAGGCTCTTCACAGTTCATCTCAGAGGACTGACAATTCTTTCTGGAGAAGAGGCCTTGCTGGGCCACCACTCAGACTGCTTGATTTGAATGGAGACCAGGAGTGACCCTCTCTGTCGAGGGAAGGGGCCAAAAAACACAAGGGTCAGTAGAAAAGAGCCACAGTCAGTTTGCCTCTTGAAGCTCACCATGTAACAGATTAGGTTTAAAAAAAAAAAAAGGTTGCCTGCTTGCTGGTTAATGAGAGCATCCCTGCGTGTCCCTCCAGGTGGGGATACAGCAGTGTGTTTAAGAACATACTGTTGCTGGCCCCGTGGCTCAATAGGCTAATCCTCCACCTAGCGGTGCCAGCACACCAGGTTCTAGTCCCGGTCGGGGCGCCGGATTCTTTTCCGGTTGCCCCTCTTCCAGGCCAGCTCTCTGCTGTGGCCCAGGAAGGCAGTGGAGGATGGCCCAGGAGAAGCACCTGGCTCCTGCCATCGGATCAGCGCGGTGTGCTGGCCGCAGCGCACCAACAGTGGTGGCTATTGGAGGGTGAACCAATGGCAAAAAGGAAGACCTTTCTCTCTGTCTCTCTCTCTCACTATCCACTCTGCCTGTCAAAAAAAAAAAAAAAAAAAAGAACATACTGTTACTTTTATTTGCTGAGTTAGTTCAATTCATTTGAGTGTTCTTTTCTCTTTTTCATGCTTCATTAAAAGGCCACACGTGATTCTCCAGAGAGCCACCCACAGCTTTGGGCCACCCACCAGCCTAGAGCTGGCGACCCCTGCTCTAGGCCCTGTTCTCTGATTTTCCTTACAGTGTAAATCATGCCCCTTCCAAACTTTGGACTCCTCGGGGAAAAACTATCCTCCCTAGATAACAGGTGAGAAAATGAGTTTGGGGAGGACAGGAAGACATTTATTTAAGGGTACATAGCTCAAGAAGAAGGGGGGGAATGGAAAGCCACCCACCTTTGCTCTCAGAATGAGGCTCCTCTAACTCCTCAAAGGGGTGCTGGGACAGGAAGGCCTGGGCTGACTCCAGTACAGAGTAGATATAGGGGCCCCGAGATTTGACTTCTTCCATAAATGCCTGTGAGGTTTAGCAACAGATAAGGAAAGTCTTTCAATCGCTTTGAATTCTAGCCTGCATTTGACACCTTTCTTCTCAATGTGACTTGGTCCTGTGGCATTCTCAGGCATCTCTGGGCCACTACAACAAAAGGAGGAACAGCTCTCCTTACAGGCAGGATAACCCTGACACCGGAAGGTCTACTGGGTATGAAGTGGGCCTCCCTAGGCCACACGGCACACAGAAACATAGACACCTTGGTTCTCTGGAAGACTCAGAAAGTTCCCTGTTAAAGGGCTTAGAGAAGTCAAAAGCAGGATGGTAAGGATTTATATTAAAATGTTAATTACATTTTTGTTGAAATAGGCAGACTACAAAATCAAAGTATCCAGCTTGATGAGTTTCCACAGAGTGATTCCAACTGTGTAGCCAGCACTGAGGTCAAGAACTCCGTGGGTGTCCCAGAAGGCCCCCTGGTGGCCCCTGCCAGTCACTCTCACACCCTTCCTTCCCAAAGGGGACCACGATCCTGACCTACAAAATCGCTAATTGGCTTTGCCTGTTTTTAAACTTTATATAAATGGAACCATACACTCTTTTTGTATCTGGCTTTTCACTCAACATATGTCTATAAGACTCACTCATAGTTTTCCTGCTATATTATATTCCATTCTATATTCATTTTAAATAAACATATAATGTTATATTCTGACTATAAAGGCTATATATATATATATATATAACAGAAATATCAGGAATTTCAAAAGACTATGATGAAGGGAACGAAAAAGGATTCCAATTTCAACATGCAGAGTTCACCACAGATAATATTTTGATAGAGTTCCTTCCTGTGTTGTTAAATATACATGTCTCTCATGCACACACACCTATATCTATTTCTTATATAATTGAAATCCATTCATACATAATTTTTTATCCTTTAATTTTTTTCACTGACTACTATATTATATTAATTTCTCTGTACCATTAAAAATCAGGGCAGGATTTTTAGGGAGGTCAGCATGTGACTGGAATGGTAGGAAGGAAAGACCAGGAAGAGCACATAGCCTCCTATGCCTTTTGGGGTGTAAGCAGAGCTACTGGTCTCCCAGAGTCTTGCAGAAGTGACTCCTTCCAGACTAAGAAGCTACTCACCATGACCTCCATGACCATAACCTACCGCGTGTGTCTCCTTCTCCTGTTGCACCAGGGCCACATCCCCTTGTAGGGGAAGCTGAGCTGATAACTCCTCATCTTTTTGGCTGAGCCAGTCGATAATCTCTTGGAGAGGGATCTGGAGTTTTCCGCTGTGGTCCGCAAAGGCCTCCAGGCGAGCACTGCACACAATGGGTAAGAGCAGTGGGGTTTAACTTCTTTTAAAGCCATAAAACATCCCCCCCACCCCGAAAACCATTCATGTGGAATCTTAATATATAAGACTGATTCAAGAGGAGCTGCTCTGGTTGAAGTGGGAGGGGGCCCCAGAGCCCTCTCTCTTCCCCACCCACAGAGGTCCCAAGGCAACTCCACAGGGAACACAGTACTAAACCCAGTGAGTGGGACCATGGCTCTGGAGGCATCCCACATTTGAAGGGCTTGAAATGTCACTTTGTGGACCTCAGCTGCATCTGGCTGGGAAGGGCAGGAAACTGAGCAAGGGCAAGCAAGGTGACAGCTGGCTGGTTCCCCTCTTGCCCTAGCGGAATTCAAGTGATGTCACAGTGCTCACCTGAGCCCACCTGTGAGCAGGAGGGGATTCAGTGAGTGGCAAGGACAAGTTGGGTGGCTGAGCGTGGGCATGCCCACGTGCAAGGATGCATACCAGTATGAGTGTCAGCAGCGCAAGGGACCCAACAGATGACAGAAACCCTGGCTAGATGTTCGAGATATGGAAGCAAAAACATTTGTACCATGTAATTCTTTGTCCGCCTCTCCCCACTCCCAAATGAACCATGAGCCGAGGTCCAAGAGGTAGGAAGACAGAAGCTGCTCAGAGCTGCCTGCAGCCACCGAGGCCACTTCCTGCAGCTGCAAATTATAACTGTCATTATTCATCGCTCCACACCATCTGGGCCAAGCTATTTACCTAAGTTATTACCTCAACTAATTCTCCCGACAACCTTACAGGGTAGGCATTACTGTTGCCTACAGAGAGGTTCAGAGTTTGTCCAGGGCCACACAGTTAAGTCACTGGTAGAGCTATGATTTGAACTGAGGTGTATTTGACTCCAGAGCCTACAACAGAAGCCAGGGGTTTGGGCTTGCGTGATAGAGTCTGGAAAGGAAACATGGCAGGTGTACATACAGGGGCAGGGGAAAGAGAACGGATGCAGAACTAGCTTTCAGGCTCTTCGTGAGCTGCCCTTCGCCTGAGGAGGAACAGCCAGGCTGCTAACCCACGCATGGGAACGGAGGGCAGTAGAGGATGGGACCTACCAAGATGGAGGACAGCTCTGAGCAGAAGAGGAGGACTGACTAAGCCTTTCCTTCACCTGCACATCAGTACTTTTAATTTTAGGAAGCATTTTCTCACACTGGAACCCTCACGACAAAGCCATGAGGTAGTGAGGACAGGTAGTATATACCCCCATTCGTAAAAACTGACGCCAGTGGAAGCTAAAATTCGGAGAACTCAAACAACTCACCAAGATGACACAACTACTTAAAACTGAAGCTGAACTCTAAGCCTCCTGATTTTTTTTTTTTTTTTTGACAGGCAGAGTGGACAGTGAGAGAGAGAGACAGAGAGAAAAGTCTTCCTTTGCCGTTGGTTCACCCTCCAATGGCCGCCGCAGCCGGCACACCGCGCTGATCTGATGGCAGGAGCCAGGTACTTATCCTGGTCTCCCATGGGGTGCAGGGCCCAAGCACCTGGGCCATCCTCCACTGCACTCCCGGGCCACAGCAGAGAGCTGGCCTGGAAGAGGGGCAACTGGGACAGAATCTGGCGCCCTGACTGGGACTAGAACCCGGTGTGCCGGCGCCGCAAGGCAGAGGATTAGCCTACTGAGCCACAGTGCCGGCCCAGCCTCCTGATTTTAATGCAGGGCTTTTTCCCAAGTGCCAGAGAAGGCACGGGAGAAGTGGATGGCGAGACTGAGGACGGGGGACACACAGGCTGAGAGAGCAATGCCAAGCTGCTGTTGCAAACGGAGCCCAACCATGTCCCAGGCAATTCCTTAAGGCACCTGCTTCTGTGGGCCAGGCCTTACCGGAGGTTGTGACTCTTCTTCTTGATTTCATTCCAACACAGATTCATGGCTGCCGGTTCCAGGGGGCCAGCGGCACCAACAGACCCGTTCAACAGCTTTGGACTTAAGCAGGGAACCCCGGCACCATCTTGAGGAGGTGCAGGGGTGGTGACGGCAGCTCTAACCTGGACAGAAACACAGATATCCTGTGATCCCTGGAGTGCGCCACTCCCTGGTTTGCAGCAAGCCAGGGGAGGGACCAGTGTGAGCAAGGCGAGAGAAGGGCTGCTCTCAGCGCTCAGAAATCCTATCCTCTGTTGTGTACGTTCAGGGAGTGAGATACAGAAAGACTCGGCAGCCCTGGTCACGGCAAGGTGTGCGCTTGGTCCCGGATGATTGCATAAGACTGCTGACAGCTATGGTGATTACTCTGCTTAGTGTAAATTCTGCCGGGACCACTGCCCAGGTGGGATCCTGGCGGTGACTTGATGTCCAGCAGAAAGCTGCTCAGGATTTCCCAAAGGCTAGCGACCACGACCTAGCAATCCAGGCGAGCTGCAAGCTCGTACTTCGCACAGTTCATCCAGCCTTCTAGAAAGAGAGTTGAGAGGCTGCACCACAGAGATTCAGACAGCGAGCAAGCAGATCACCAGAGCGAGCGACCTATAATAGAGGTCCTGCTTCCCGAATGTTCCCAGGCCTCAGTGTCCCCTCCTCTTTCCCCACTCACACTTCCCACCACAACTGGAAGCTTGGAAGTAGCCCTAAAGAGCACTACTCCTCTTCCATGGGGTGGGGCAGGGCTAAAAGAACATTCTGGAGCCTGCTGCCCAGAGGACTCTGACCAGAATCCTCAGCCAAGATGCAAGCCACACAGCCTGCCTGAATCTGGCCTGGACCCTCCGGCTCGGAACCCACCCCTTGCCCTCTGGGGTACTGGTAGGGCTTTTTTGGGGGGGAGGGGGGATTCTGGAGGAATGCACTTATGCCAATGAGCCCTTAAGAAGGTAGCTACTTAGAGCACAGCGCTAGGGCTGCCCAGCCAGGAGGCAGGTGTGGGTGGAGAGAAGAGAAATTGGAGGAGGAAATAAATTTCAGCCTGGGCTGCTGCCCTGCTGCCTGGGGAGACGCACTCACCTGCCTGCTTGTCCACCTACTTGCCTTTGTGTGCAAGGAAAATGGCCCTATTAGTGGCTGGGAGTCCTCTCCTCTCCTCCGTCCTGCAAACCGTATTTCCTCCCCACACCAGACCCACCAGGCAATTTAGGAAAGCAATCATCCCATTAAAACCACAGCCCACAGCCGCACTGTGAAAGAACAGTGAGGGAGCTGCCAAGCTCTGGGCAAAGCTTAGAGCTCAGCCACCCTGCGGCCCCACGGGGCTGACCCTACCTGTGCTGCCGGGGGGGTCTGTGGCAGGATCAGGCAGCTCCATGGTTATGGCCGGCAGGAATCCGGACGCAACGCCTGGTGAGCCGCAAAGAGGCAGAGTCCAGACGGACTCTGAGCAAGGCTACTCAGGGAGGCACACAGAGCTGAGCCAGGCCAGGAGGCGGGGGGCTGGCCCCCTGTTTGTTTCCTGACCCCCCAGGAATCCAGAGGGGGCGGCTATGTCAGGACCTGGCCGGTGAATCACAGCTTTGTCCCTGGGGAATTCCGGCTTGCTCCCAACCGGGCCCACCAGCCGAGGGCCAGGATGGCCTTCCCAGACTGGCAGGGATGGCGGGAGTGGGACTGGGCATTCCATGGCGCTAAGGAGGGCCACGCGGGGGGCAGCTTCTGGCCATCTCTTTTCCCTTTCCAGGGAACATGCACAGGGCTCCCTGCACCTCCAGGCGCAGCCCTCCCGAGGTGGGGGAAGGATCAGACCCCCATGGGGACAAACCTCTGGGCTGGCAGGAGGCTGGGCTTGCCCAACAAACCTGTCCTCCACTGGCTGAGCCCCTCAGACAGCGAGGATCGCGGGTGGCACCCCCGGGACAGAGCCACCGCACGGCCGCATTTGATTATTCTCAAATGAGATTCATGGGAGCCCACGGTGAACATGTGGGCTGCTCGGGCCTCACCCAGAGACGCAGACAACAGTGGAGGAAAGCCACAGCCTGCAGGCCTCTCGCTGCTGCTGGGGAAAGGGGTGGGGCCTGGAGCGCTGCAGGGGAGGGAGTGAGCACAGCGGGATCCCTGGACAGGGAGGCTTCTGTGCCCAGCCTCGGCGACCCAGGGACCCCAGGGAAATCCTTTTCCCATCAGCCGGTACCCCTCCTGGAAATGGTCCCTCTTCTTCGCTGGTGTTTGCCGGGGGAAAGGTTAACATTCCCAAGCTAGGCGCCCACACTTCAACACGAAGAGCAAATACGTGGTTTTTACCAAAAAGGGTTCTGTTCCCATCCTCGTGTATCTCCCACAGTTTTCTGGGCTCTGCACAGCTCCACATTGTTTCCATGCTGAGCCCCACCTACAGGAATACTTGCAACAGCTGCCTGACCCTTCCTGGGGAGGTCTAGGGTGGAGCCAGCTGGGGTGGCTGGGGGCCGGCAGGGAACAACAGGCCAAGAGCTGGGAGTGGCTCTTGCCCTCCTGCTGGCCGAAGCTTCACTCATGCTGCCATATTTGGGCTCAAGCCAGTCTCACAGAGTCTCTGGGCTGGGGGGTGCCCCAGAGTTAGAAAGAGGCCCTTGTGGCCCAGCCACAACCCAGCCATGCTGGCTCTGGGAGAAGCGCCCATAATGAGCTGGGCCCCACCCATGGTAGCCTTTCACTCCCTCAGGCCTTCTGAGTTCCCTATCCCTACCCAGCTCCCACACTCCTCTCAGTGCCCTGCACCCCGAAGTCCCCGCAAACACTCGAGCCCCACCCAGCAAAGGCAGGTACACAAAGGGCAAAGCCCGGGCACTAACTGCCTCTCTGTTCCCTTTCCCTGTCAATACCTTCTACCTGTTTGTGTCTCACACTGGGCTCCCAACCCCTGACACAAAGGCAGCAGGGAAGGCAGAGCAACCGGACTGCAGTCAAAGAGAGGGGTTGGGGCCGGTTACTCAGGTCTCTAAGTTGACCCTGGCTTGGAGATGATGTTAGAGGCAGCGCTTTCTGGCTAGAGATGGCAAACAGCTCAGGGAAACCTGCGCCTCATGCCTCAGCACTGTGTCTTGCTCTCATGCTCCCCCAAAGCGGGCTCCCCAGCACCCACAGTCTCCCTCCGTGCTGCTGCCTCTCTCTCTCTCTCTCTCTCTCTCTCTCTCTCTCTTTCCCCTCCTCCCTGGGGATTCAGCTGCTGCCTGCTCCCCTGGCATCGCAGCCCATCTGTGAGACCCCAGGAGACACAACACTGGAGGGCGACCGACTCGAGGTGTGCTTCTGTGTCCCCTCGTCCAGTCACCTTTCCCTGGGTCTCTCTCATGTTCAGGAAGGCGGGCTGCCCACGCTCAATCACTGTCTTTCCACACCTCCTCGACCCACCTACCAATACACCCAGGCAGGTCCACAACCAGCACCACCGTACTCCTAGGGGAGCAGAGACAGAGAGGCGGGCAGGAAGCTCCGGGAATTCTAAGTGAGGCTAAGGCAGGAGTTGTGAGGAAGACTGGGCACTTGAGAGGAAGAGCCAGCGGCAAGAGAGAGCTAGCTCCTTGCAGAACGTAAGGCACGCCATGGAGAAGCCAAGCAAGGGAAGCTCCCGCCTCAGCCTGCGCCACGCCCTGAAAAAGCTTGCTGCACTGCGACCTGCCCACATCTGGAAGTCTTAGGAGGTTAACATGCTTACCCCCCTTCTGTGCCCTATGCCCCATAACAGGCCTCAGGAGTGACAAGGGATGGAGCCGGAGGAGGCCCCATGTTATCCGAGGGGTTTATGTATACAGAGCACCCCTTCTGAAACACAGCCACCCCGCGGGCACACACAGATCCAGTGTCCACTTGTCCTCCACAGGTCTTTGGCGATCAGCACACTCTTACCTGAGCCTGGGGGCAGGTGCTTCGGAGGCTGCTGCTGTGGTGGAAGCGGTCAGCTGCCCTCCACTCATGACATCGTGGGAGGGTGTAAGGGCATCCCTGCATGACCATCGGTTGCATCAGAACAAAGGCTCATGGGGGGTGAGAATGGGCACTGCACCTACTGTTGAACATAAAGCACCTGGAAGAGTAACAAGGAGAACTTCAGAGGCCAGCCCTGGAGAAGGCCTATGGTTGCAGCCCCTACCCAGAGGTAGGGTAAGTAGGGTAAGTAGTCAATGTTTACTGACCTACCCAGTAATTCTTGCCAGACCACCACACACCATGAGACTCTCTTCTCAATTATTGATCTACCAAGTATTTCTCGTTTGCCTATTATGCTTTGGGCTAGAGCCACAAATATGAAGTGCTATCTGAGATGGCATCACCTGGTAGCTGGGGGGAGGGGCATGGGTCAGGGAGGCAGTCATGTAAGTCACTAATTGTAACAGATGCAGATGTGGCAAATGCTATCATCAGGGTTTGACCAGAAGGCTTGACGCACACAGAGTGGGAACAGCTAGCTACCTGAGACTGTACACAGATTTCCAAGAGATTGCATTTGAGATGAGTCCCAAAGGATAAGTAGACGTTTGCCTATGCACAGAAAGTCATTCCTGGCTAACCAAGCCACCTGTGCAAACGTGGGTGTCCCCAAAAGGCACAGCGTGTTCAGAGTACAGTGAGTTGAGAATGTCTAGATTGAGGAGGCACAGAGATGAAAAAGACACGGGGCCTACCCCTGGAGCGTCCACAATACAGAGCAAACCAACATGGGAAAAATAAAGGCCATAAAGTGTTATTTGCATTAATAATAGAAGTTTTTATGTAATAGAAAACAGAGACAGATGAGGGAAAGGCAAGCTCTGTCTGGTCATGTCGAGAAAAGTCTTCACAGGGGGCAGGTGTCATGGCGTTGGTTCAAGTCCTGGCTGCTCCACTTCTGACCCAGCTCCCTGCAAAGGCGCCTAGGAAAGTAGCAGAAAATGACCAGAGTGCTTGGGCCCCTGCCACCCATGTGGGAGACCCAGATGGAGTTCCAGGCTGCTGACTTCAGCTAGACTCAGCTCCAGCCACTGCGGCCATTTGAAGAGTGAACCAGTGGATGGAAAGTCTCCCTCTCTCTCTCTCTCTCTCCCTCTCCCTCTCGCTCTGCCTTTCAAGTAAATAAAACAAAAATCTTCAAAAACCAAGTCTCCACCGATGAAATGTACTTGAGGTGAGTCATGAAAAGAAACGGGATTGCTATTAGACAGAGAAGATAAAACAAAAAGAACATTCCAAACAGTACAAAAATAAAATGTGCACATGCTCAGTGTTAGCAGAGTACCAGGTAGGTGCCTTGTGGGAAGCAGCAGGAGATGAGGCTGTGGCCAGCTTGGGCCACGCCTTGAATGACAAGCAGAGGATTCGGGCTTTATCTTATAGACAGTGGGGAGGCACAGAAGACTTTAAGCAGGAGAGTGATGTGGCCAGATTTGCATTGTAAAAGAGCCCTCTGCCTGCCTTGTGGAGGGATTCTCCCCGGGGAAGAACCCATGCAGAAGCCATTCCAAAAGGCAAGCAATTGCAGTGAGAATGGAGCAGATGGCAGGCAGGGTCTGAGACACACTGAAGAGGTAAAACACACTGGGCCCAGTGGTTAGTTGGACGGAAAGGGTGAGGGGGATGAAGGAGTCACATTTTTCTCATTTGGGAGCTGGGTGCAGAATATTGCCAGCAGCGAGGGAAGGAAGTGAGGAGAAGGAGTGAATCTGCTGTGGTAGGGGGTGAAGGCAGTGTTTTGTAATAAGCTGTGCTTGAGATAGATTCAGCTTTAGATGTCAGGAGCCCAACTCAGCAAAAGAGAGACAGGCGCGAACGTTTTAGGTGTACAAGCCACTTGATGGTTTAGTGACTGCACACAAATATGATGAAAATGGGTAACCAGGACAATAGTGCAAATGATAAAGGTGATTTCCTTAGTGCTGGGCACAGACAGGCAGACCCGGACCCAAAGGAAGAATTGAGCATTTCTGCTTCCTGATGCTGGGGACCAAATAGGCACCATTTTTAGCCTCTATCCCAGTGGGTCCAAACATTATAGATACAGGGCTCCTTCATAACATTCAGAAACTAAATCTCACTTCACCCACTCACACCCACAACAGTAGCTGTACTTTGAGAACTTACAGAGTGAGAAAACACATTTAACGATCTATGACTCCTTGCATTAAGCACCCTTCCCTCTTCCACAGGGGTCCATGGTACAGAGATTGGGAGCTGTTATGGATCACAAGGGTGCAAGAGTTTGTGGTGTGAGGGACACTTCGCTGTTGTCAAAGTGCTTGGAGATGACACAGCCACACAACTCCTCATTCCCAAGAAGATTCCACAAACAGTTAGATGGCTCCTCTGTGATGTGGCACCGACGACATAAAAGAATTAGTCACTCAGATCAAAAGTGAAGTATTTCTATGGGCATGTTATGAGCATAAAAGCTACAAAAGGGGCCCGGCGCTGTGGCTTTGTGGGTTAAGCCACTGCTTGCAGTGTCAGCATCCCATATGGGCACCGCTTTGAGACCCGGCTGCTCTACTTCTGGTCCAGTTCTCTGCTATGGCCTGGGAAAGCAGCAGAAGATGGCCCAAGTGCTTGGGTTGCTGCATCCACATGAGAGCCCCAGATGAAGCTCCTGGCTCCTGGCTTTGGATTGGCCCAGCCCTGACAGTTACGGCCATTTGGGGGAGTGAATCAGCAGATGCAAGATCTTTCTCTGTCTCTTCCTCTCTCTCTCTCTCTCTCTCTCTGTAACTCTACCTTTCAAGTAAGTAAAATAAACCTTTTTTTAAAAAGCTGTAAAAGAGCTTGCTTTCCAACCTCTTCTTATATTATTAATTTTATTTTTGCTGATTACACATTAATGAATGTTCTTTACAGAAAAACTAAAAAATACAAAAAATCATAGCAATAAAGATAATTCATACTATGAACACCCACGCATAACCATTATTAGTAGATATGAAGCTTTACAGGAGTTTTTCTATGAAAAAATGTGTATGGAGGTACATATATAGAACTTCCAAAAGTTCATGAAAAAAATGGGACTTATTTATTTATTTATTTGACAGATAGAGTTATAGACAGTGAGAGAGAGAGACAGAGAGAAAGGTCTTCCTTCAGTTGGTTCACTCCCCAAATGGCCGCTACGGCCGGCACTGCGCCAATACGAAGCCAGGAGCCAGGTGCTTCCTCCTGGTCTCCCGTGCGGGTGCAGGGGCCCAAGCATTTGGGCCATCCTCCACTGCCTTCCCAGGCCACAGCAGAGAGCTGGACTGGAAGAGGAGCAGCTGGGACTAGAACCCAGCACCCATATGGGATGGCGATGCTGCAGGCGGAGGATTAACCAAGTGAGCCACAGCACCAGCCCGAAAATGGAATTAAAAGATAAGTTTAATGGGAAGCAGTCCACACAGCAGACTCATAGAATGACAAATGCCCTAAACAGCACTCTGACCTCAGAATCAGCCCCTAAGGCATTCGGATCTGGCTGAAAATCCCATGAGAGCATTTCAGGCATGGAAAGCCAAGACATAGTGGCAAAAACAGTTCTGCATGAAAGATATCTGTGAGTGAAATCCCAGTGGAAAGAATGGGCCATCAAATAAGGATGTACTTTTCTCTGAATGGAGGAGAGAATTTCCACTTTGCTTATGGCCCTGCTTAAATACTGATGGAGTTTGTGGACTCAAAAGGCTTCCATAGCCTTGGCAGCCTCGGGTGGTCACTGATATAAAAAAAAGAGTGTTAATTGTTAAATCAACAACAGGAGTCACCGTGCATTTGCTCTCCAAGTTGGACCTCTGTCCTTAATGTGTTGTACTATGAGAATTAACAGTAAAACTAGTCTTCAAACCATACTTTATACTTTGTGTGTCTGTGTGGGTGCAAACAATTGAAATCTCTACTTAGTATAAAGTTGGTCTTCTGTATATAAAGTCAATTTAAAACGAATTTTGATTAAAAATTGAATGGGAGAGGGAGTAGGAGATGGGATGGGAGTACAGGTGGGAGGGCGGAAATGGGGGGAAGAACCACTATATTCCTAAAAGTTGTACACATGAAATTTGAATTAATTAAATAAAAACCTTCTAAAAATAAAAATAAATAAATACATTGATATTAAAAATATAAGTTTATTTTGGGGGTAGCATTATGGCATAGCAGGTAGAGCCTGTGATGCCAGCATTCCATATGGGCACAGGTTCAAGTCGCAGCTGCTCCACTTCCAATCCAGCTCCCTGTTAATGACCTGAGAAAAGCAGCAGAAGATGGCCCAAGTGTTTGGGGCCCTTCCACACATGTGGGAGACCCAGATGAAACTCCTGGCTCCTGGCTTCAGCCTGCTCCAGTCCTGGCCATTGCAGCCATCTGGGGAGTGACCCACTGGATGAAAGATCTCTCTCCCTCTCTCTCTCTCTAACCCTGCCTTTCAAATAAACCTTTTTTTTTGTTTTTAAAAAATGTTTATTTTTTTTAAATACTGAAATTCATGTTTAGTTTTTTCATAATATTCATAATATGCATTTTTCATGAGCTTTTTAAAGATCTCTCTCTTACTTTCAAAAGTAAACTGTCATCATATGTTGTCTATAACTTTTTAGCCCTGCTTTTTTTTCACTTGCCATAACATGTTATGTTTTTAATTTTAATTTTTATTTTTATTTGTTTATTTAAAAAGCACAGTGAGAGAGAGAGAGAGAAAGGGAGAGCTAGAGAGAGAGAGAGATCTTCTATCTACTGGTTCACTCCCCGAATGGTGCAAGGGCTGAGGTTGGGCCAGGCTGAAAGCAGGAGCCAGGAGCTCCATTCAGGTCTAAGTGCAGGGATCTAAGCACTTGGGCCATCTTCCACTGCTGTCCCAGGCTCACTAGCAGGGAGCTGGATCTGAAGCAGAATAGCCAGGAGTTGAACCCGGCTCCCATATGCAATGCTGGAGCTGTAAGCACTGGCTTAACCCACTGAACTACAATGCCGGTCCCACATGGTTGTTTTAGAACAATGATTTAACTACTCCTCTTAAACATGACTTCTAACAGCTGCATAGGTGGTACAGCACTGAGACTGAGGCCATGGGCGCTGGCATTGGACAGATGTAGAACC